TCAGGATCAGTGTGTGGAATTACAAATCTCATAAATTTCCAGTGTATGCCCAACATTGACTCTAAAAACTATACTTTAGACTAATGAACTATTCTTATCTTAAAATACATATACTTATTTTTGAACTTTGAGGCTGTAATTTGTCTTAAAGCTGTAACTTCATATCTACTTCGGCAGAGTTGTTTTCATGACATCCTTCAGCTCTCTTTTAAAGGATATTACTGAAATACGTGTCAAGGGTTCACAACCCTCCGATTACGGATGCTGAAACTGAGGTACAGACGGTTAAGCATCTGGCCCCAATCACCAGACTTCTTTCAGTGCAATGTTTTTTTCCACTCTCTTTGTATTTCCATGAAAATCTATATGTCTGCCTAATCATTTTTGGCATGAGCCTGAAGCACCGGGAGAAAAGACAATGTCAATCAAGTTCAGAAAAATAATAGTGGACACAAAGGCTTTTATGGGTACAAAGAGGATGCTGGGAAACTAGACTTATGGCAGGAAGTGTCCTATGTTCTAGTTTATCTAGTAAGGGAACTGTAGGATATGAAAGAGAATCATTGAAGGGAGAATGCCAGTCTGTGGGTGCCCGACTCAAGATTAATAGTGCCTTCCCTGGGTCAGGAAGGCTCCACTGTGCACCCACCACTCATGTACAACCCTTTATTCCATCCTTTTATTTTGCTATCAGGAGTGCCTTGTATACCAACTAGGATTCCTGGGTTACCTTCTTAGATAATCCAGACAATGCACCCAAAAGCAGAAATACGGTCCCTGGAACTCAGACATCCTATGCAATTTTTAGATAATTCAAGAATGGTTAATTGGCATTAGGTCTTTGGTGTTCTGTAACTATTAATATCAGGGAAGTTATTTGAATAACTAACATTGTAGCAGGAAAAAAAAATGCCATTGCCCATTATCATCTGAGTAATTCTTTTAAAATATTTTAATGATTTAGTGAATGAAATACAGAAGAATAAAGACAGAGTGAAAAATATCATCAGAAATTTTAGTAAGAATTTTAGTGTAGTAAACCTAAAATTTTGTTCTTTGCTTTCATGATTTTAGTGGTACATATACACAAAAGGGGAAATATCCTCCAAATGCAATTAACTGCTCATGAACTATCATGCCATCTGGAACATACCCATCTTGTAAATACTGACTTCAACTACATCTCTGTTATGTTCTAGCTTATTATTGCTTCTGATTGTTCATCTTGCATTTGTGTCATCAAAATGCAATACTTGAAAAAAAATTTTCAAATTTTTTTTATTTGATGGCTCATGATTTTGAGGAAGAGAGGATGACCATGTTTTTGCTCCAGAATTGCAAAATGTTTTTATTTTTACATTTATAAACACCAACTAGAATGACCAATTCGATGAGTTGTATTTCTACATCATCCATTTTTTTTCCCAATTACCTCTGATACACACCTACCTTCAGCATGTGTCCACTTGTGAAGCATCTGGGATAAATTTTGGTGCACAAGAATTATTAAAGAATACTGTTTCGTGTCATTTTAGAAAGACAGGATGGTCAAGTTCTTGTCCCCCAATTTTACATGGCAAAGTTCTCCTTGCTGAATAATTAACTATATGAGTACTATATCCTTTGTATCCCTAGAACTATATTGCTCAACCATTGAGCCTTTTGTTTGAGAAAATTCATCTAGAAGATCATCCCATGAAAACTCAGTCTGAGATTGAACATAGACAATCTGTTTCACCATCTTCATTGGGTCCAAAGTGACACTGTCTCTTTATATTCATCTTCTGATTTAACAATTTTGAAACCTCTTCCTCTGTCAATTTTAATCTCTTTGCCATTAAGGGGAGAAAATGAAAAAAAAAAAGGAATTCTTTTGAAAAACTAAAAGCAGACTACGAAGATAAAGATTACAAAGACTACCTCCTTAAAAGATGATGCTCTTGGGCAACACAGCAAAAAAAAAAACAAAAAAACAAAACAAAACAACAGAAACAAAAAACAAAAAACAACTAGATAATTGTACAACAGTAGATTCATCTCGCCACCCTTCTAGATTTCTTACTGCATCATTGTTCTAGGCCAGTTGTCCAATGGAACTGTAATGAAAGTCACTTGTATAATTTTACATTTTCTAGTGGGCACATAAAATATAAAAGGAAACCAATAAAATTAATTCTAATAATATATTTTACTTAATCCATAGTATCTTTTAACATGGAATCAACATAAAAAATGATCACTGAGCTATTTTATATTCTTTATTTTTATTCTAGATCTCTGAAATCTAATATGTGTCTTGCACTTACAGCACATTTCAATTTTATTTTATTTTATTATTTTTTAAGCACATTTCAATTTTAAATAGCCACATTTCAAGTGGTCAGAGTCACATGTAGCAAGTGGCTACCACATTAGCATAGTTTTGGACAAGTCCACCATTCTTCCTTTTTTAAACCTTTCAGTCTTTTGTTTTTTGGCTCATTGGAATTGGGAAGTATGAATAAAGTAATTCCTACAATGGTAAAGAGATAAAATGTCTCAAGATATGAAAAGGCAAAATCACTACATTTTCATACTGCTTTTTAGATTTATAAAGGGTCTAACAGAATCTATGATAACTGCAAGACATACATTTTATTGTTTTTTAAAGTGGTTTTGGAATTGTTAAAACAACAATAAGAGAACATAAAACTGAAAAAAAAAAGGGCCAAAGACTTTAACAGACATCTCCCTGAAAGAGATATACAGATGAAAAATAAACATGTGAAAAGATGCTCTACATATGTCACCAGGAAAATCCATATTAAAACAATGAGATACTACTGTGTCCCTATTAGAATGGTAAAAATCCAGAACACTAACAACACCAAAGGCTGGCAAGGACAGGAAGCAACAGGAACTCTCATTTATTGCTGATGGGAAGGCAAAATAGAATAGCCACTTTAGAAGATAATTTGGCAGTTTCTTACAAAACTAAACATATTCCTACCATGCAATCCACCAATCACACTCTTTGGAATTACCTAAAAGAGTTGAAAATTTATGTCTATGCACGATCAGTGCATAGACATAAAAAAACTTGCACAATCAGTGCAACAATTAATTATTTGGCAAGTGGAATTTCGCCATGTAAATTTTGGGAACCAGAACTTGACCGTCCTGTTTTTCTAAAATGACATGAAACAGTATAATAATTCCTGTGCACAAAAATTTACCCCATATGCTTCGTGAGTGGACAGATGCTGAACATAGGTGTGTATCTGAGGTAATTGGGAAAAAAATGGATGATGTAGAGACTTTATAGAGACTTTATTTGTAACTGCCAAAACTTGGAAGCAACCAGGATGTCCTTCAGTAAGTGGAAGGACAAAGACCTGGAACATTCAGACAATGGGGTATTAATCAGCACTAAAAAGAAATAAGCTATTAAGCCATTAAAAGGCATAGAGGAAGCTTAAGTGCATATGACTGAGTGAAAGAAGTCCATCTGAAAACACTGCATGCTGTGTGATTCTAGCTATACAACATTCTGGAACAGGCAAAACCATGGAGATAGTAAAAGGATTGCCAGACAGTAAGAGTGGTTGCTAGGGGTTTTGGGGTGGGAGGGATGCATAGGCGGAGTACAGAGCAATTTCAGGGCAGTGAAACTACTCTGTATGATACTGTAATTGTGGGTACATGTCAGTGTATATTTGTCCAAACCCAGAGAATGTTCAGCACCAAGAGTGAACCCCAATGTATCCCATGGACTTTGGGGGATAATGAGGTGTCAATGCAGGTTCAACCGCAACACACGTAGCGCTCTGGTGGGGGATGCTGGTAATGAGGGCAACTGTGCACCTGTGGAGTCAGAGGCCACGTGGGAAATCCCGGTACTATCCTCTCAATTTTGTTATGAAAACTACACTAAAAGTCTTAAAATGTTTTTTAAAATGTTTTTCCTTGCACTTCAGAAGACCTCCAAGAGAGAACAAAAGCCATGAAGTAGCAATCTATAGAAATGGCTGAAACTGCTCAAAAAAATAAACTACAATTGAGTCCAAAGTGCCTTAATAGTATGTCAAGAATTAACCATTTTCTTTGCCTTTAATTTTTCTTTTCCTAGAAACATTGCATCCATCATTTCATTTTGGGGGATCTATCACCAGATTTTAAGGAATAAGAATTTTGAAACTTTTGGTATCCCTAATTTAAGTCGAACCTGCTTTGCCTATAAGGATGTATGCATTCATAATGTGATTCTATATATATTCATAATGTGATTCTATATTCCTCTAAACAGGAAAACACATTGATATTTTTAAGTACTCTATATTATATATAATCCTATTCTGTAAAGTTATTTATAAATCTAAGGTATTAAGCTGTTTTCACGCCATCTAATGTTAGCCCATAAAAAAAAAAAAACAAAAAAAAACTTTCTCATTTCTTTAGTAAAAATCATTAAACGATGTTGATAGTTTTTTATTGGCTGAATCAATGTATGTAATTGAAGGGTGATATTAACACTGAGTTTAAAGGGGAACATGCCCAGAGCCTACCATCTGCAGTGCTGTTTCCACATACAATAAGATAATCTGTATCCCTCCCCCACACTGCTGAGGTCATTGCCACGGGAAAGTCACTAAACAGACATTAGGAATATCTGTAGTCTAGTCCCTGTTCCAAAGCAAACTCGTTCTGATTTCAATGAAATAAAGTATTACATCTGGGAGGATCTCGTGTACCAAATGAGGGAGGATAGCTTCCTGGTCTTTCCTACCTCCTAGGGTGGCTAAACTAAGAAAATAATGATTATTTGGCCTGAGATGAGAAACATCAGCATTTGAACCTCTGTAATGTTTCTTTCAGTGCCTCTTCCTCTTCCTCAATGATAAAAATAAAGCCAAAGGACAGGGGGACAGATGGACAGACAGAAGACCGACACACACACCCCATCAGCACCATTTCTTAATGCATTTTTATTTATTTTTTAATTTTATTGCATGTCCTGGCTTGGAGATTTGCCTCTGGCTCACCAAAAGCCCATTACACAAAATACCAAAAGACAAGCAACAGAAGCTTAAAAAAAAAATGTATCACATCTATAAGAAAGAAACTTTCAAAACATTAATAAAGCATATAAAACATTTGACATTTAACTTTTGTACAATTATAAAAATAATAAAAAAAAACAAACCTTTAACATTCAACATCCCACATACTGTACTTTAGGAGAATATCAAGAAAACAAAAGGCAAATGGATTTAATGAAGAAAGTTCTATTCTCCCTTTCTGTTTCTCATCCCTTTCAAACAAAAATCTATCCACTTGTCAGCAGACTGCATTGAGCTGAGCCCCACCCCCTCCCCAGGACCTCCACTAAGTCCACTCCCACTCATCGGTTCTGAATACTCGTTCACCCCTTATCCTAGCTACTCATACACTCAAAGAGCAGAAGTTGCCACCAGGACATGAGGCCAGTCATTGTGCTTAGCCTTGGCTAGTGCCAAACACGTAAGCTACAGTACAGGAATTTCTGAGTCCCTAGTGCTACCTGAACAGTGCTGAAATAGCTCAGAAGAGGTCCTAGGTTTGTTCAAACACTCAGGACAGTCGGGGAAGCCATCTGCCCTCCGAGCATTGCCGATGCACAGCTTTCATTCTTCCCCTCAGTAGGTTTTCAAAGCCAAGTCGCATACGTACTCCACAAATTAACAGTGCCCCTTACCATTTAAGCACAATAAAACTTTGAAATCAAGGACTCACTCTCTTGAACATACAAAATAAAAATAATAATAAAAAACAACATTTCCTTCCCCCTATCTTACAGTTATGGCATTTTTTTTTCTTGTTTGGCATTGTAGTCTTACTAAATGATGTTTCCATGAAAATATAAAAACATAATAATAATAATAAAAAAAAGCTTCAACTGTGGTTCTGGAAAACCCACTATCCCAAGAAGAAAATAAAAATTGAAACACAAAGTATGCAATTTCACACACAAAACATATATACACTTTTCAGGTGAAATTCATATATTACCCTTTTGAGCCACGTTAGCTCTTTTGCACTTGAAAACAACTGTGGAAGCTTCTGTGCAATCATAGCCCTTTATCAGAACGCACAGAAGGATTTTAGAGCTCATTAGCGTATGTACAAAATATTTGTTTTAGAGTTTGGGGGGAAAAAAAGCATCTTTCTGAAAGATCTACAGGAATATTGTCATTTACACATTTTCCCAAAGTCTGAAGACAACTCTCTGTTTATGTGGTTCAAGCAACACCTCCATTGGAAGGCTTATCCCCTGATCTGTGGGGACATTTTTCTATCTATGACAGTCCAGAATAGAGATGGACGGGAAATTGGATTCTCACAGTCATTTTCCAATAAAGTCAAACTCCTATTGATCAAGAATGAAAAGTGATAGAGTGATCCAACTGATGCCACAGGAAAACTGAGCTCATAACTTTAGATTTTCCAAATCACTGCTCCTGTTTTAAATCTTGAAGAGAGAAAGATAAACGAGCCTCTATTTGCAGAATTTTATATAATAGGAGGGTTTTCAAAAGAAACATGTATCAAATAATATTAGCTATGTTTCAAAAGGTCTTTTAAGAATTTCAATTCATGGCTCACTGATCTCTTACTGCTTAATGGAGATTCAGTGTTTCTGTATGATTCCTGTTTTTCCTGGATATTCTGAATAGACACTACAATTTCAGTGTTAAGAACTAAGGAGACGGCATTCATCCCAATCAAATCTACCTTAGTTCTAACAAGGGTAACAAATGTGTCATTGACTTAGTCAGTCTAGTATTGAAACTTGGCTGCAAATATTTTCCCAATACATACTAAGAGATAAGGCGTCTGGTATTAAATGTAAGGGGGTTGTTGATATACCCAGATACATGATACCTGATGTTTTTGAACTAGCTGCCAAGGACCTCTTCAGAATTTTAGCCATGGGACGCCTGGGTGGCTCAGTCAGTTAAGCGACTGCCTTCAGCTCAGGTCATGGTCCCAGGGTCCTGGGATTAAGTCCTGCATCGGGCTCCCTGCTCAGCAGGGAGCCTGCTTCTCCCTCTGCTTGTGCTCTCTCTCTCTCTGACAAATAAATAAATTAAAAAAAAAAAAAAAAGAATTTTAGCCATGACCCACATTCCCCATTCCCAACCGAAAGCAAGAGAGGATATTTCCTTTCTTCTAGGGTTTGACAGTGTGAACATGGATTTTTTCTTGTAAGTAGACTAAATGACCCCAAAGTGAACCACCATCACTAGTAGCAATGTCAATCACATAAAGTTCACTAAAATAGAGAACCATGTACATATGCATACGATCTCACCCATACAGTATGCAATGGTAAATATAATAGGATCACTCCAAAGGTTTGATGTGGCAATTGCTTAGCATCAAAAGAACTGAAAGGACATTTTTGTCACTCATATATGGCATCAAGCTCTAGATACCAATTACCATACCTAATACCCCTTGAAAGAAGGGGTATAGATAAGCCATCCAAACAAGTAAATTAAAAAAATAAGTTGATAAGTGCAACTCAGTTTCCTTTCCTTTAAATTACATTTAAACAATACTCCATGCCCCCCACCCAAAAATATATACTGTATATTTATATATTTATATATATAGTCTTAGACTATAAGGGTGAAAATGCTTTATAAAAGTCAATGAGAAATCTTTGCAGCTTAAGGAGACAACCACTGCTCTTTTGCTCACTTCCACCTAGCCATGATAACTTCAGTCCTGCAAGCAATAGATTTGAAGGCTTAAAGCCAGAATCAGAATCAGATGCCAGGTTGGACATTAGATCAAAGATAGCCTCTTACTTCTTCTTCCCTTAGGAAGCCAGACTGAGAAGAGGAAGGAAAGGAGCTAAAGGGGACACTTTGAAGGTCAAGCACTAGTGCCTTGTAGGGATGCAGACAGATGGGGAGAGGATGGGAGGCATTCACACAGTAGTGCTCACTCTCCCTCTTCTTTGATGCGCTGTTGCTTGTTGCGACGAGCATCCATGTCAAAGTTGAAGTCGTTCCACTCATCGCGGGGCGGGAAGGAGATGGTCTGGCGCAGGGTGAAGCGCACGGCATCAATAACGCGCTCGCCCCGGGTCTCGCTGGAGCCCACGCTGACTGTAGAGGCACCACTGGGGGTCCGCAGGAGGTGAGGAGGGGAGGAGAAGTCGTGCAGCTGCCGGTGGTCCAGGATGCCCTTCCAGATGGCATGTCGGAATTGCTCAGGGATTTTTAGACTTGCCAAATCCTGTGCAATAGGGAAGGGAGTCAGGGAGAATTAGGACAAAGGGACAAACGGACATTTAGTCCACATCATTTTGTCATTCCCAGTGTTCTGATTTAACCAACCTAAATTTACTGCTCTCTACACTGGAAAATAGAGTTAGTTCTCGGATAACCTTTGGCATTATATGTAACTAAGCAAAGGTACAGCCTTGAGATGCCATTTCTGCTTGTGGATAACACTTCACTTACTCTCTCTTGGTCTCAGTTTCTTTGCTGGTAAAATAGGGATATTAGTTAGATCAGAGGGCAAAGATCCTGCAACAAAAACAAGATAAAGTACCTTCCAACTCTTAAATCTACCTGGCTCTAGTCACTAGAAGAGAGAGATTAATGGACCATAACCTCCGCTCAAATGAGTTGATGAGAAGAAAAGATTACTAACAGGTATTGAACACTTTCTATATGCCAGGGACTGAACTAATTATTTTACATTCATGATCTCATTTAGTGCTCAGATTAGTGGTAGATACTCTTACACCTGTTTTACAGATCAAAAAGCTGAAGGTCAGAGAGGTTGACAAGTCTAAAGTTACACAACTAAGTAAATGAATTGGGGACTCTGGACAGCCTCTGAGCCTAAAACTTCCTTAATGGCCAGAAGGTTGCTTGGTGTTTGGATAAATCAGGGTATCCAAATGCAGGGTATGTGTCCATGTTCTATGAATGGGAGTGGAAGGCATTACAAATGTGCTCGATCTTAACTAACTTCAGTGACATCTCTCACATTTATCTGCATTATCTCTTCATTAGTTTGTTTCAGTGATGGCTCACATCTTCTATGGAGCCCCATGGTGGGTAGAAAGAACACTGTGCTTGGAGTAAGAAGACCTCGACAGAGGTTTTTATTCTGTCACTTACTGGCTCTAGATCTTCATCAAGTCACTTTTCTCCTACTGGCCTCAGTTTCTTCCTTGGTAAAATGGGACAGAATTCCTTTTTTAGGTCAACACATATTATGGGCTCAGATGTAAATATGGATGTGAAAGTATTTTGCAAATTATAAAGCATACTATCTAAAGCTTCACCATTTGCATTATTATTATATTAAATTATTATTAACCCATCCCGACACCTTAGAGGGGATACACATGAAAACTCCCAAATTGAACCACATTCTTTTTCCAGGAAGGGATGCCAAACAACTCAGACAGGTGTTGAGAGACAAGCTGGAAAAGAGGTTTCTATTTCCAGTAATGAGATGGAAGAAGCTGAGGCGAGGATGCAGAAATTAGATAGCCTCCCAGTTATTTCCCTGTTTGGATGTCCACAGTATGGGTCCTCTGATTTCCTATTCTAACAGAAGAATACATTATAAAGAAGGCAACCCACATTTAGATAAGGAAGCGTAAGTTTTTATATTTCTGAAATTCTCAGTAAGTCCAGAACTCTGTAAACTGGCTTCCATCAAGCTGTATGATTCTCTAGATAGATCTGAACTTATAACTGACAGGTGAGGAAGCTGTGACCCAGACACTGGCATGAGACCTAGCCAATGCCAGCAGAGAGGGACTTGCGGAGGACATCTGTAGATCCTAGTAGCCGAGGGAGCATCCTGACACACTCCCCAGTGGGGACAGTCAGCAAGTGGAAGGCATCACTTTAAAAATATAGGGAAGGGACGCATTTCCCTTCTGTCACATAGGGCTGTCAAGCACAGGGCAACTCTGTTCTCCTCATCGGATGGACATTGTTGTAAAGTGACTTGAAACCTGTCAAAACTTACTCCTAAAGCTTGCTCTATAGTTTTCATTTAATTTATTCCACCAGGGAGCAGGAGTCAGGGTGATTTATGGGGTGGAGGAGGGGTGGGCAGAGGGGCGGTACGGCATATTCTTGTCATCACAGGGCTGGGGATTCTCGTGCTGCAGGGGCATCTCTAGGATCGGTGCTCAAGGAGGGGAAAGAAGAGATCCCAACTAGAGAAGCAGCAGCAGAGGCAGACAGTATCTTCTTCCACCAGTCCAAAGCACCCTCTGGAAGCTGGAAAAGAGGATAGTAAACCCCAAAGAGAGCAGCATGAAGAGCAGCCTGGGAGGAAAATCAGATTGCTATAAACCAGAACAATACAAGCTCCCATGTGAACAGTTCAAGAAGCGGTGTAGGAAGGAAGAAAAAGTCCCCTTCTATCCAGCTTGCTCCAAAAGACAAAGGACATCAAAGCCAGAAGGGAGTGCTTTTGAACCCCATTTGATAAACTGAGGCTCAGAGAGGCAAAGTAATAACCTCAAGTTCTCATTATTACTGAAAAGCATGGATAGGACTTGAACCATGACCAGTGATTTTTGTCAATGGTCAGGGTTGGCTTGACCCTATTCTGATAGAATTGAAAATGAACGAACACATGTTTCAAACTGAGAGGAACAGCTGAATCCTCCTTAAGGTCCGACTTTAGGGAAAGGTAGAAGAAGCCAGTTAATAGAGTTAAAGACCAGAAGCTTCCACCTAAGGGCTCTATTCCTGGTTCTGTCATCATCTCATGATGCAAATGATTATACTGTTGTCTCTCCATGTTTTAAAATGAGAATAATATCACCTGCTTCCTGCTAGTTTCCCTGGGGTCTCATACAGATTAATGAGAACATCTAGAAAGTTCTCAAAGTTCTTCAGAGATTATAAATTTTGTGGAGGCAGGAACTGGATCTCCTCTTTCCCACTCTGAGTAGAATATGTGTGCAATAGACAAGTGTTGGCCAAGCTGACGAGCTGAGGAAGACTGATTGCTATGCTTCTCAGGTATGTAGGCTGAGGCCTGGTAGTCTTTCTAATCTGGTAATGGTTTCCACCAAAATTGAGGACTGAGGGCATGCTAAAAACAAGTGTTAAAGCCAGGGGGAATTGAACTACCAGGTGGATGTCACCAGAGGGAGGAAAGGAAGCAATAAAACTCAAGAGAAAAGTCTAACAGTTACTTACATCCATGGAGTAATGCTCAATCTGATAGATGGTGGTCAGCCCCTGGGTCGTGAAATAGTCCAAACATGATGAACAGCCCAACCTCGCTAAGAAACTGCAGAGGGAGGAGGGAATAGGAAGGAGGAAACAGAAAAAGAAAGTTCACCCCAACTGCATTGGCGAGATAAAGGAAAACCCAACATTTTGCCCTGGGATGCCCTACAGGAGAGACTAGGGGCAGATGAAATCAATCTATGTGGGCCTTGGATTTAAGGTTTGGGGATGGGTAGTGACTTGAACTTTAGGTCTCTAGACATTAAAATCAACTCCGAGAATTCCTGCAGAGCAGCGATTTTCAAATGGTGATTGGTGGAATTCTAGGGGTTCTACAGAGAGAAGTGCCTGAGGAGCCATTGCAGGGGGTGAAAGGAAGGAGTCCAGTGGTCAGGTTCCCAGCGCTCTTGCCTCCTGCCTCTTCACTTCAAAAAAGCGCATCTCTACTTGAATTGCTTTGTATCTGGGGTTTCTGAGAATGGTTCACGTGGCTAAGAAAAACTGGAGGCCACTATACTATGAAGTCATTCATGCCTTCTGATTTATGTCCTGCTCAGCATACAGACCCCCCTCCTTTTGGGTACCACCATCACTGAGCCACAGGCTGGGTGGCGCAAGCCATGCACTTTGCCATCTCTCTGACTGACGCTGCTTGGTGCTGCTGCATCAATCACAGGGTGATCAACACACATTATTCCAGCAGCCAAACGAGAGGATCATTCTGCACATGAAGCAGGGGCAGGCAATGCGTGCTAGGCGTGAGATGTGGCACCCACTCTTGCCACGGGGGAGAAGGTCTTTGAGGTTCCAGGCTTTTCTTTCTCCTGGCTATCTGAACGCCCTTGCCTAGTGTGAGTACTTTGTCGATGACCAAGGAACAGCGGCCATCAGGTTCTTGAAAGGCCCTGTCGTTTTTGCACACATTCAAACTTTTTAATGCACATCCCCCTCTGACATAACGAGGCCATGGTGGCTGAGAGCTATGAGTCCTGGAGAACGGGAAAGGGAGCGAGATAGCATGTTTACTGCCCTTCTGGGAACCCCAGCCCTGAGCACCAATTTGAAGGCCCCACCTGACCATGTGAAACTGTGAGGGAGGGAGGGGTAAGTGAAGATGGGGGAAACAGGCATGAAAAAGGATATGCCTATCAACTCACATTTTCACTTTTTCCCATGCAGATCATAGTGCTTTTCCTTGATGAAACACTGCTGACCACTCCACAGAGCAGAGATACCAGTGCTGAACTGCCACCAGAGGAAGGGCTGCTTTCTTTTTTATTTTTCTCCCAACTGTGTCATGAACTCTGAGAATGTCCACCCTCCGCCACCCAGAGTTGCTTAGGACAGGCCCCCAGGGGCACATGCTGTGGACTCACCTGACAAGGCTGCAATCTGTGGGGTACGGAGGTGGGGGAGTGCAGTGGGAGGTGGATGGCATGGAGAGTGGGGGAGGGAGGGCCTGGGTGGGGCTGAGTCCATTCATGTCTCCAGCCATTGGCATGTGGGTGCCCATCATAGGAACTGAACAGAAGCAGGAGGAACAGAGAGGGTTACTGCCATCATCAGTACCAGCTTCCCAGTGGTCCATCTTGCCTGGTTTAATGTTACCAAGGGCCGAATTCACCAGCTTTCCTGGTCAGCCTTCTCTCTCACTACAGCCCTTCGAGCACCCTACATCTCATCCAACAGAACAAAACAGTCACCAAACTCCAAACTAGTTGCACACTTTTTGACCTTTGCACATTCTCTTTGGACAATCTCCCCCCCACTTCCTTCCCTACTTCTAATGCTCTAACTGTTCATTACCCCTGATGTTAACATATTCCTCTTTGTATCTGCCTTCATGGGTTATAATTCTGTCTCTCTTATTAGGCTAATTCCTCAAGCATGGAGATTAGTTAGACCTTGTACATGTCTCAATCCCCACCTAGCATAGTGCCTGGCACCAATCACATGCTCGGTAAACTGATGTGCAGTGAACAAATGCAGAGACATGTGAATGAGAGAGTGACCTCTGGGATATTTGTCTGGGGATAGGAGTATTTACTGCAATATTTGGGAACCATAGGCCTAATAAGGAAGGATGAAATTAAAGATTCCAGCTCTTTCTTATGGTCCATTTCTGGATTGTATTCGGGGACACCAGCAACCCTGATTGTTTTTTTTTTTTTTACTAAACTACAAACTGGAAACATTCACCTATAGAGAAGTAAAGCTTAATACTGATAATACTTATGAGGCAAATTTTGTCTTCAGGTGAAAAAACAGAGCAAAGGAACATATCTACAAAAAGATTAATGCAATTTGCTTTTTTATTTTTATTTTTTTTTGTAAGTGAATCAAATATGCCAAAAAGGAGAGGCCTCTGCCACTAACTGGCCAGCTAAGGAGCATGGGCTTATCATATCTCATCAGTTTTCCCTCTGACTTTGTTGATGATATCAGAGAAAACTTGTGAAGTATAAATGAGAAAATGTAGGCAAACTATAACTTTCACAAACATGAAGGAACAAAAGGACTCTAAGATGTCACAAGAAAGAAAATAAAGTAAAAATATACATGGTGCTTTTTTCTTTTACTGTCAAAACAGCAGACCTGTCAAGGGGTAAGAATTTGAGCCTTAGGATGCATTGATCACTAGTGAGAGAGCAGTTTGGCTCTAGTCTTTGTTGCCAGATCAGGCAACCATATCGCACACACTCTATCTCATTTAAATCTAAATGTTTGCCATCAGACCGTAGAGAGTCACAATCCTAGCTTCCCTTAACTTCTTTAAATAACAAAACAAAACACCTAGTCTCTTCAAGGCAATACTTAAATGCACATTGAAAGCCTTGATCAGAATAATGAAGGATTTCAAAGGACAAGATTGAGGCATTGTTTTCTGAGGTGCATTATAGGATACATGTGCAGTGTTTAGGCTTCTGCATCCCTGAGGATATGAGACATCCTTCTGCATTTTATCCTCCTTTTGGTTTTCTCTAGTTTGGGAATTCACGCTGTTAGATTTAGTCCTAGTGGATAAGATAATTCTATTTACAGCAAAGCTATATAGCAATCATCATCCATTTGGAGGCCTGTTCTCACGTTGCCTCTTACAGTTATACTTAGTTGATGTGAGGAATCTGTGCGTGAATAAGTAAAAGGGAGACTCTCTTCTCTATGTCAATTCCTTAACAACTTTATACAAGATGCAGTAGATAAGCTGAGAAGACCAAGATCATAGGGACACAGAATCATAAGATGGTAAATGCGCAGTGATAATTTAAAAAAAAATTTTTTTTTTAAGATTTTATTTATTTATTTGACAGAGAGAGACACAGCAAGAGAGGGAACACAAGCAGGGAAAGTGGGAGAAGCAGGCTTCTCGCTGAGCAGGGAGCCCAATGCAGGGCTCGATCCCAGGACTCTGGGATCATGACCTGAGCCGAAGGCAGACACTTAACGACTGAGCCACCCAGGCGCCCCACGCAGTGATAATTTTATGAATGGAAACTGAGCATCAGAGCAGAGAGGTGACTTGCCCACAGTTGCACAGCTAATACTGCAATAGAGGTCAGACTCTAATCTATTTCTCTGGACTTTTAAGTCTACTGCACCATGCTACTTCCCACATGTTGGAAAGACCTCCTTTTTGCTTTCTCAAAGGAGGTGGGAGGTGGGTCCCCATCAGGTTGACAGGAAGTGGACCATTGTTATCACAGAGATATTTTTCCCTACTGAAGGAGCAACCCCCTCTATGTCTCCCACTGTGCTTTGTAATGAACCATACACTTCCAAAGTGACAAAAAGTTCACCATAAGAAACTCAAGCCATTCAACTGTGATCTGTTCTGTCCCACTCTGCCTCTCCTTAGCTTAGGAGCAAGCCTCTCCCCCAACCCAAAGCAGAGCCTTCTCATACACTAGCCCCAATGACCCCTAAGGTGAAGTTAAAGGGAGAAGCTCTTACTGTTGGCTCCCATGCCGTCAGGAATGGTGGTGGGGGTGAGGGCATTGCGCTGCTGAGGGTTGATAAGCTGGCTCACGGAAGGCAGCTTGTTCATGCTGTTCATTTTGTTCAGAGGTGGGGAGCTGTTACCGTATGTAGACTGAGACTGCATCGAGGTCCTAGGAACACAAACATGGGAATTACAGTGAGCATGTGACACTGGAGGGGGGTGACTGGTCATATCCAACAGGCCTCAGATTAAAACATGGCTTTGAACTATACACTTGTAAAAATATCCCTCTGGGACCTATGACAAGAAGTTACTTGTGTTTCCATCCAGGAACTTTTTTTTCCTTTCTTTCTTTTTCTTTTTTTAATAATTTTTTATTATGTTATGTCACCATACAGTACATCATTAGTTTTTGATGTAGTGTTCCATGATTCATTGTTTGTGTATAACACCCAGTGCTCCATGCAATATGTGCCCTCCTTAATACCCATCACCAAGCTCACCCATCCCCCCAGCCCCCTCTCCCCTCTAAAACCCTCAGTTTTATTCCCAGAGTCCATAGTCTCTAATGGTTCATCTCCTCCTCTGATTTCCCCCCCTTCATTTTTCCCTTCCTTCTCCTAATGTCCTCCATGCTATTCCTTATGTTCCACAAATAAGTGAAACCATATGATAATTGTCTTTCTCCAAGAACTCTTTTTTAACTAGGGAAGGATTACAAGGCTATCATCAATCATATTTTTCCTGAATGTATAGAGTACAAAGTTGAATACCTTCCTAAAGAATCTCTTTTGTGAGGGGGAAAATAATTGCATCTTTTTGCCTCTATATTATTTTTTCTCCATCCCTTTCCCCTCTCTTGCCCTTCAAGTCAAACAAGCTTGAAAATCATTGAGGGAAAAGAACTCAGTGAAGACCCAGAGGCTTATGAAAGACACGCAGATGCCATTTTCAAACTGCAGCTGAGGCCCTTCATTTGCAGCTTCCTGGGCCATTTGGGATATGCAGAAAATTAGTGCAAAGCCAATCAAACAGGGTATTTGGCAGCACAGCCTGCTGTCATGCAGAGGCCCCAACATGGAACCATGCTTTCTCAGCTTAGAAGTTCATGGGCCATGAGAGAATCCATGGGGTTGCCAACAGCCTCTCTACAGAGGAGAAGCCTTGCGCCCAAACAACTCTTCTGTTGACAAGTCTCCTGGGAGACAAGGGAAAAAGAACAATTCCATTTAGCATAACTTCAATTTGGAAACTTACTGGGATTGGTTTGTCACACTATGCATTATATTACATAAAACATTCCCAACTCAACTGCTATTCAGCAAGTTTTCTCTGATTATAGAACTGGTGATATCTACTACAATCACAGCAGGATATATCATCAGAAAATTGAAGTGTAAGACTTCCTCTAGCATATATTAGAAACCATGGGTCCTTGTGTGGGCCACGAAACACCCTTGCAATTATTTTCTCACAAGAAAACTATATAAACTAAATACATATACACTTACTCGAGTTGGATGATAGAGGTAGAAAAACTGGCAAGAAACAGTCTCATCTGTGAGAAGCTCATAGGGTAGTGGATACACAGGGATAATAATCCGACCTACCTTGTAGGGTTATGGAGAGAACCGGAAAGGAGAAGGTGAGGAAGAACTTCATAGACTATATGGCATTTGCAGTGAGTAATTACTGTGACCACAGAATGAAGACTGGGCTTGAGCCTGTTTCTAACCCCTGGTGGGAAACACTCCCCTTTTATAATTCTCAAACAAAAGGCATTATTTTGTTCCTGTCTCTCTCCTCCCTGCAGCCATATTTATATTAGAGGAGAGAGAAAAAAAAAGAAAAAAAAAATGTTTTCTGAGTTTTATTATAGATACATAAAATACAAAATTTTGCGGGCTCTACAAATGCACCCAGGTTCCCGACAAATGTGGTATAAAGTGTCTGAAAGAATAATAAAAGGGGGCCTCTAGCACTTGAGTGCCACTGTGGGACGACACTTGGCCTTTGAGGCTGCTGCTCTGCATTCTCCATAATTACACAAAACAGCGAAGGCTCCATTCCTTGTCTCTGAAGAGTCACGGCTAGAGGAATTCAAACAATATACTGTGTACACATTTGCATAAATAAGGATGACAGTTGATGTACCATTAACAATTCAGCTGCATTTTACAATTACTGATTTTAAAGTACGAGGGCACAGATTTTTCTCTTTAGACCTTTTGGAGAACTCACAATTATAAGTCCATGTCATATAAACAGGAGTTTCTGTGATAAGCCCTCCCAACTGTAAGACACTTCAGGTTACTAAGCTCTCCTTTATCCATTTTCTGAATGACCATCACATGCCCGTGGAGGAGAACATGATCTGGCAAGGCAGGGTTGGTAGGAAATTATTCTATTTTACAGATGTGTAAACATAAGGTCCTAAGAATAAAGGTGCACAAGTCCATATTACCAAATAATGAGTTGAGAGGTCTCCTGGCTCCTAGTCCCAGAATTTTTTTCTTTCATTCTGTGTCAACTTCCCAGAAATTAGACAGTAGTGTGCAATAAGTTATAGAACCAAGACATGGGTGAAGTTGTAAGAGAAATGTGGGAGACCAAGGTACAGCAGGGACAAGGGATATAGCAAAGGCAGTCCCCCCAACTGTCATCAAATCCACTCCATCCCTGTGTGGAAGCCTTGTGTTAAGAGTCAGCACTTTGGATATACTTAGGAACATTTGTAAATCCGTATCAAAGTACAGAAAAGCTCTGGGCAAGGTGGCCAAGAGATGCTTTGCCAGGTGCTTTTTCTCTCTGCCCACAACAAAGTACCTAAGATGCCAGGTTGTTCAGACTCCAGAGGCAGGTTTGTCCTCTATAACCTAAAGAGACCTCTATCTCTTTCATCCCCCCAAATCAGTCAAATGCAAAAGCAAGAGCTAAAGGAAGCATCGCTTGAACCACGGATGTCCACCATTAGGAAAATAAAAATATTTTTAAAAGCTTTGCATTTTCCTGGACGCTTTGTTATAATACATTCCTTCTTCCAAATCCTGTTACACTTCCCTTCTCCATTTCTTTTTTGTGGGTCTTTATTTTTGACCATTTTACTAGGTCATTTATTATGAGCAGCCTAAACTATTTTAAGAAATTAGCCCAAAAACCAGAGATGAACAAAGAAGGAACATGAATTTTGAAGTCAACCAAAACATCTAGGCTTAGATGTTTTGGTTCTAACTGACACAAATTAATTGATCTGACACAAATTAATTGACTTCAGATGTTATGCAAAGTCTCTGGAGTCTCATTTTCTTAAACTGTAGAACAGATATCATACTAGAAGAGTTGCTATGAAGACTAACATGAAATAATATGGAAATGATAAGGAAACAACCGAAGCGTCCTCTGATATATGAATGGATAAAGATGTGGTATATATGTGGAATATTACTCAGTCATAAAAAAGAATGAGATCTTGCCATTTGTGACAACATGAATGGACCTAGAGGGTATTATGTGGAGTGAAATAAGTCAGATAGAAAAAAACAAATATTGCATGATTTTACTTACATGTGGAATCTAAAAGTAAAATTAATGAATAAACATAACCAAACAAAAATTGACTCATAAATCCAGAGGGAACAAACTGGTGGCTTCCAGAGGGGAGGAAGTTTGAAGGGATGAGCTAAGTAGGTGAAGAGGATTAAAAGGTACAAACTTCCAGTTATAAAATAAATGTCACAGGGATGTAAAGTATAGCACAGGGAATATAGTCAATAATATAGTCATAACTTTGTGTGGTGACAGATAGTAACTACACTTAACATGGTGAGCACCCCATAGTGTTATATAAATGTCAAATCACTATGTTGTACACCTGAAACTACTATAATATTGCATGTGAACTATACTTCAATTTTAAAAATAATAGATTTGTAAAAATGATTTTAAAAATAAAAAATATTACATTCTTAAAAAAAAAAAAAGAGTAAATTAGATTATGTAAGAACCCTGGACATTGTCCTTAATTTATAGGTGCTCAAGAAACATTGGTTCTTTTTACTCTTACACTGCAGGACCAAATGTTTAATACTCTAGTGTTCGGTCAAGAGGATGAGAGGCAACAGTTTAAGAATTAACAGGAGGAAGTGGCCAGTATTCTCACTTGAACAAATCCAGGAATTAGGTTGAGTAGATGAATAAGGATAAGAGAGTAAAAATAAAGTCAAAAATTCTGAATGCCTCTCCTTTAATGTGGAAGAGAGTGTTAAAGCCACAAGGAGCAAGGTCAGGGCAGCCTGTTTATTATTAAGTTTGCAATGTCTGAAATACAAAGAGTATTCAGAGAACCTCTATGTACTGTGGAAAAGGGAACAAGGCTGAATAAATCTGTGACCAATTTAAAGGCCTTGAAGAACAAGATCTTTTTTTTTTTTCCTTTACACATATAATGTTATAGTCCTTGAGTGGACAATCCCAAAGATTACTGGGGAATCTGAAGATAAGGAAAAAGTGTTCAAGGACAACGGGATCTGTGACACTATGGGTTTCTTACCCACCCCCCCCCCAATACACACACACACACACACATAAACACCCCAAAACTGAAAAAAAGTGAGTACGTAGCTATCCTCAGAAAAACAACCAGGCGTAAGTTCAGGCTGTTTTCTCTAGAGGAGTACTAGATTTTTCCAGGAATCCAACATAACAGAGATATAGAAAGGCATATTTCATGTATTTCTAGTTTTGAGGAGAAATCCTGAAAAAGTCAAGTCCGAGGTCTTAACTTTAATGACTCAGGCTTCTGTGAATAAAATTCAGTATCTCAGAGCTGTAAGTGACCTTGAAATCATCCAGAATTAAAAAACAGTTTTTCTGATTCCAAGACTAGTGACTATGTGGCAGAGAGTCCAAATTCTTGAAAAGACACAAACTCAAGGTCATCTTCTCCATCTTGCTGGAGATACTACCTACAATTCCATCAAAGGATTCCTTTATTTTTTTGCCTTAAATCTTCCATTGCTAGTTAAAAAGTAACTCTCTAGTAGAATGTGGTGATACCTCAGGGTAAATCTATTTCAGCAAATGGTTTCTGGAGTGCAGAATCTGAGAGGGGGAAGGGATATTGTGGATAAAGCAAAACACCCCCTATATGAGGAAGGTCAAAAAGAGAGAAGCCATGTAAGATCAGAAATGGAAGTGTTCCTCCTCGAAATTTTGCTCACTACTGTCCTGCCTGTAACCTTACTCTCCAGCTGGGTAATCTTGCCTCTAAATATAAAAGGCAGCATTTCTTCTCTAGATAGATCAACTGTAATTGTAGAATATTTTCCATTAGTTCAAAGATATGAATTTATATAAGTCACTATACACACATTAAAAACTTATATAAAAATGGGGTGAAAGAAAAAAAAAACTTGTGAAAGAAAAAGCAAATGTTAAAAAACTAAACATACTCATTAACCCTTTCAGGGATTTGTGAACCCCTTAAAAGGGGATTAGAAAGTTATTCGATTAATTGAAAACACCTTGTCAATGTAACAAGCTCATCTGATTTTACTAATATGCTTTTATCTCAAACATAAAAATGTTTTTTCTTAAGTATTTTTTCAAGCTATTATATTCATTATTTTTACTCAGAAACAATTGTTGAAGCTTTTAAAAACAATTACTCAAAGATCGGAACATAGTGTAATTACAAAAAATTTGGACAACAGGTTCCATTGCATATTTCTGGATGAATATTTGTTAATTCCTACGTCACAGAGCCAAATTATTTAGTAAACTTGGATTCGATTTATTTGGCAACTGAAGATATAGCTCGAGTCTTGTTCAGAGAGGTGGACAAATGATACTATATTGCCTGGCTCCTCATGATGAAATTAATGAATTAAACACCCACAGGGCTAAAATATATTTCAAGTTGGTGTAGGCATTGGAATGTATTTTTAGGACCGATGACCTTAATACAGAGCATCTTAAATAAAAACACCAAATACTGACAGAAATGTAGACAGAACCAAAGTGACTGTTCAGTATTCTTGTTCTTTAGACTTTCACGTGGTACTTCACACATTCAAATGAAAATATTCTATTACTTAAGGAATTTAAAAAAAAAGGAAGAGAGACAGAAAAGAAAAAACTGCAAGATGAACCAAGATGCAAAAGTTTATTGAAAATTAAAATCACACATCCATAAAGCAACAGCCTCAAAAACAAGAAATCATTGCTGTGATAAAACAGAGTAAAGGGCTGGTGATCTGGTGTGGGGAGACGTGGGGGAAGATTTTTAAAGTCGTCCTACCATGATTTTAAAATATGTTTTTAAAAAGGAAAGAAAGAGATTCTCTAAACTTTTTGAGCTAAAAAAAAAAAAAAAATCAGCTACTCTTTCTATCTTTAAGTTTCAGAACAGGAGTGTTGATTTTAACATGTGTCTGCTTAGACATCACTTAAATAAAATATAAGTGTCCTGAACAAAGGAGTGTGAACAGAGCCAGCCATATGGCTAGTTCTATGGTAGGTTTGAGAGATAAACCTACCATACCATACTAACCTACCATTTGTTTAGTCTATGACTAAACAAATTAGTCATAGATTTGGTGGAGAGGACTTTGAACTCAATTTTGACCACTGAAGAATGATCTCTAACTGCCTGGAACAATATTACTGGGGTAGTTTTACCCTCCTATTAAAACGACAAAATAAGTTTCTCTGTCTTCAGGTCTAGACAACAGCTTTGGGTGTAGGGCTCAAGGGTTTCCGTGAGCAAGGAAGACTATCATATCAGATGCCAACAAGGTGGCAGTGGTAGGATCTGACAGTGTTCATGAACTTTCTATCTACATATGAGGGGAGGAGACTGATAATGCAAATTCTCAAAAAGAAGAAAAGAACATCCCCCCACATTGGCTACTCATAGTAATTATCATCTCTCTGCCCAGCAGTACACTTGACACCTTAGTGTGTTACTATTTGTAATATTATTGCATGACCAGCATTAAAAGGGCCTGACTGAGGCTCTCAGTCGCCTACAATTTTCTTACGCACAGACAAGAACAACTTTTTTCTCCTTTTCTTAAAAAGACATCTTAAGTTTGAGACCCGCTCAAAAGCTTCTTTAAGAGTTTTAGAAACACAACAGAAGGTAACAGAAAAGGGTTCGAAAAAACATCTTAATGCCCCTCTTTCCAACCTGAGCCCCTCCCTTCTAAGAACAACACAGAAGCTCACAGACAAACATGGGGGTTCCTGACTGCCCAGTGCTAGATCTAAGGATGCAGAATCTGCAGAAAACGTCCTTTCTTGTAAGTTTTGAGTCCCTTCAAAAATTTTCTTACTAGTGGCTGTGTGCCTTTGAGCAGTTAGGTCTCTGAGCCAAAGTCTTCAAGTTCTGCTTACGAGGGCTGGACACACACACACACACACACGCACACATGTGTGCACACACACGTACATGGAAACACAAGAAACACACGATCAAAATACAGATATGGGGCTCTATGGATACACTGATCGGTTTGGAGGGCTGGAATGTCTAAAGAAGACGTCAGACTGTTTCGGGGTTTCTCTCCGGGGCTCCACAAGCTCATTCCTGAAGCAGGCTGAAAGGAGACTGCAGAGAGGAACCAGAGAAAAAGAAGAGGTGAAGGCTTCGGACTTCATATATTCATATCAACCGAATACAGAAACACCCTCCTACCTTCATGATCACAGTGAGACAGAACCGAATGCCTGGAAAGTTATTTCTGCTCCTTCCTTGTCATCCTCCTTTAAAATTTCTCAGAGAGGACTTCTCAAGATTTTTATGAAGAAATGAGAGAAAGCCGTGGTAGTTAACCAGAACTATCAGAATCACCTGTAGAGCTTAAAAAAAATTTTTTTTCCCCAGATCCTCAGAGACCAGGCAGGGGCCCAGGCGTATATATTTTTAACAGGTTCCACAAGTGATTCAGTTGAAGACTACTGTGTCAGGGTTGGTCACAATGTTTGGTACAGTGCTTGGCACACTGGACTCGACGAATTGAGAAAAGGGAATGCCGAGACAAGAACTAATTTTAATCTTTGGTAAAATGTCATCGGCCCAATTATAAAACCTCATTATTGTTCCTGTCTGGCCGAACTATGAAGCATGAAGAAATACGATCTTATCAGTCTGGGGGCTGCATCATCATGCATTTGTAAAGAACTATTAATGAGCATTTTGTATATGCCCAGATTGAGATGGAAAAATATCTTAATCCTTTCAGTCACAAACTTGGCCTCCAAAGGCACATATCAAACTCATGAAAGCAACTTTTACAGAATGAAGAAATCAATTATGCCACAAGGACGCCAGGAACAAATCCTTTTATTTTGCTAAAGATTGTGCAACCCCGCGAACTACTGGGGAATTCATTCCTAGATGACTTTTGAGTCACATTTGGTTACTGAGTGCAAAGCAACAAAGCCCTTTTTACTTGCTTACGGCTGGAATTCAGTAAACCAACCTCACCAGCAAGAATTGAGATCATCTGATGGAATATGCCAGCATACAAACTAGCAGGGAAGAGATTTATTCTCAGGTAAAGAGCTAAAGCTTTGACTTCTTGTTTGGATATTACACTTTGGGGCTTCTCTTTGAGCAAGTGTGGAATGAGACAACATGCAGAGACCATGTTTTTGTTATGATAAGAGTATATGGGGGCGCCTGGGTGGCTCAGTCGTTGGGCGTCTGCCTTGGGCTCAGGTCACGGTCCCGGGGTCCTGGGATCGAGCCCCGCATCGGGCTCCCTGCTTGGCGGGAGGCCTGCTTCTCCCTCTCCCACTCCCTCTGCTTGCGTTCCCTCTCTCGCTGTGTCTCTCCCTGTCAAATAAATAAAATCTTAAAAAAAAAAAAAAAGAGTATATGGACCATAGGGGTTCAAGCTTTGAGACTTAGAACTGAGATTAGTGGTGCAATGAGATGTGAGAATTTAGAAAAGTGATTTAATCTATCTGAATTTGAGAAGTCTGAGTTGTTACCTCATTAGCAATTCAGAGCTAATAAATCTCTGCCCTGACAACTTTGTAACATAGCTGTGAAATTCAGAAAGTAACACTGTGTAAATGGTAAAAATTCTGCAGGTCCTTGACCTATAAGGTTGAACCAAATGAAACTGTCAATATCCACCTGTTTTTATCTGTAAGACTGGCAATTTCGAACTAATACCCTGGACATGTGAAGGATTTCTAAATCAAACCTAGAAATATGGTCTAAACCACACCTAACGATGAGATAGAGATTTGTGTATTCTGCTCTCTCCTCTATTGATAATGCTGAAAATTTTGCTTGCTTCTCCCGCAGATATGCAATCTGAGGAAAAATTATCAATGTTCTTGCAGAAAGTCATAGCCAAATGACCTTAAAGAAGTAAGACTTCAGGGGCCCCTGGGTGGCTCAGTTGATAAGCGTCTGCCTTCGGCTCAGGTCATGATCCCAGGGTCCTGGGATGGAGCCTGGCTTCGGGCTCCCTGCTCGGCGGGAAGCCTGCTTCTCCCTCTCCCACTCCCCCTGCTTGTGTTCCCTCTCTCGCTGTGTCTCTCTCTGTCAAATAAATAAATAAATAATCCTTAAAAAACAAAAAAAGAAGTAAGACTTCATACTGAAAGCACAAAGATAAATACCAACTGATGCGGAGAACTAGAAGTGGGCATAGATTCTGATTCTCATCTTAGCATTATTATGAACTGGCCATGAAATCACAGGTGTAGTTCACTGGGCCTCAGTTATCCCAGCTGCGGTATGATGAGATCAGAACTATGACCTTGAAGAACCCACTATGCTCCAATATCCTTTGACCTGCATTACTGAAAATCTACAATCGTCAAGGGATCATCAAGGAGAAGGAAATCCTAAGGGTTCCTCAGGATGCCACATATTTGTACTACAATTAAAATAAAGCCATCTGGCAGAAACTCAAAAATAGTTTTTTTCAGGGGAAAACAAGAGTTCAGCTAAGTAAAATTTTAACAAAATGATGTTGGCCTGAGATCAGAGGAGGAGGATAAACTACAGGAAAAAATGAAAAAGCAATACTATTGGTCCGAAGTGCACACATCAAAAGATTGCTAAAAAGGTCTCAAGCAGCTTCTGCAAAGCTGTCTTAAGAGTTAATGTCCTTTGAAAATGTGAAGGCAAGGAGTCTAGTGTCAAGAATGGGTCCAGTTTGTCCTGCCACTAGATTCGGGCTTCTATAAACATAACCCCAGATGTTTATTCCAACATGAGCAAATCAACTACAATCAAATTTCTTTGTAAATGGTATAAAGCCTACTCATATCTATAACAATTTGATTCACAAAAACTCGGTGTAAAATTTACCCTCCGTAAAGCCCATGATCATGAAGGTAACTGAAGGGATTTTTGAAAAAGGAAAACCATGCACAAATGAAAAGCAAGCAGAGAGAAAACACACAGTGAGAAACTAATAGAAGGAATTCAACTGAAAATATTTTATTGCCGCTTAGTAGAAGCTGTGTATTTCCTTCCCACTAATTTTTCCTCTACTAAAAAGAAAAACACAAAATTGATCCCTTACCAGCATAAAATTGGTCTATATTTTTGGAAAGGAAATCACAGGCTATTATAGGTATTTTCCAAGCTGATTTATTCTTTTCAAATGATTGCCAGGGAATTAGATTTCCGTTTTTCTTTGTCTAGTTATTCATGCTCTTTGTTGGAGATTTGCATGAAAATAAGAGAGCTGAAAAAAACCCAGGGGAAGAACGCAACAACTGGAGAATTTATATAGACGTCTATCAATCATTGGAGACCCATGTATATATAACAAAGGCAAAATTAGACCAAATGTCTGTATTTTGCAAAAATTTCTTTTGCAGTCTGTCACATTTCCATGCACAAGTTGTCACACTAAAGTTAGCTCTTGTACACTGGGAGATAACTCGAAAACATGCAATAATGCTTTTAAATGGATACCCCAGGGACCCATGAGGCTCTGTTCTCTCATTTATCTGTGGCTACACTTGCAAAAGAGGGACGATATGTTTCTAATATCTCTCGAGCTTTTTAAAATAACAATTTTAATATGCATTTTCTTCTTTGATGAAATAGACTGCTTTATGAAAGATGAATTATAAAATAATTTACCTTCAGAGCAGTGCCAGACACTCAGACTAAGCACTGGTAACTCATCCCGTGCAAACACAGAGTTATGTATGCTCATGTACTCCAAGTCAACAAACACAAATTGCCCAAGTCCCCGACTGACTAAGGTAGATCTTCCTGCTTATAAAATCTCTAAAACTATGACACTAAACTATTCCTTTTACTGTGTGATCTAGGGGAATTGTTTCAAATTCTCCTATTAATTTACACAATGCTCAGAACGAATTTCCAGAGCTCTCTTAAGATTCAAAAGGGGGGGGGGCGCCTGGGTGGCTCAGTCGTTAAGCGTCTGCCTTCAGCTCAGGTCATGATCTCAGGGTCCTGGGATCGAGCCCCGCATCGGGCTCCCTGCTTGGCGGGAGGCCTGCTTCTCCCTCTCCCACTCCCCTTGCTTGTGTTCCCTCTCTCGCTGTGTCTCTCTCTGTCAAATAAATAAATAAAATCTTTAAAAAAAAAAAAAGATTCAAAAGGGGGTCTGGTTAGGAATTCACCACTAATTCATAAACTCTGGGAAAGAAGGAACTTCATCTTTCTCATCCCATCCTTAATACTTCACTGTAACAGATCTTCAATAAAAAGTTTGTTACATGAATCAACTCAACTATTCCAGTCTTAACTGCTGATAAGGTTTCATCATTAACCATATTTTTTGTCTGGATGGGCATGCCTAACTTTCTCAGACAAAAGAGATCTCTGTTAAAGGCTGTTGTTTTTTTAGATATTGAAATACCATTTTAAAAATCACTGTATGCTTTCCTAAAACATTTCCATACCTCTCTACTTTAGGATACACATATTAGCTTCCAAATATTCCTATAAAAAAAAAAATCTAAGCCATGGGGCACCTCGGTGGTGCAGTCAGTTAAGTATCTGACTCTTAGTTTCAGCTCAGGTCTCAGGGTCTTGAGATCAAACCCCACGTCTGCTTAAGTTTCCCTCACCCTCTCCGTCTGCCCCTCCCCCTCCTCTCTCTAATATATAAATAAATTTTTAAAAATAAATCTAAGCCTTCAGAGGCAACGAAGGAAGATCCACCGATTTACCCAGAACAAGAACTGGCAAAGTACAGTGAATGGGCCAAATCTGGCCCGCAGGCTAAGAATGGCTTTTACATTTTTAAAAGTTGTGAAAATTCAAAAGAAGAATTATTTCATGATACGAAAATTGTATGGAATTCAAGTTTCAGTGTCCATAAAAAGCACTGGCCACTCTCATTCATTTACACACCGTGGTTGCTTTTGCGCTACAGAGGCAGAACTAGGCAGCTAGTTGCAAGAGACCATATGGACCAGAAAATCGAAGATGTTTACTACCAGTGTTTCACAGAAAAAAAGTTTGCCAACCCCTGTGCTAAATGGTCAGATTTTCTAAACCACATCATTTAATAAGTATCAATTTGGCCTGACAGTACTTTTCCTGTTAACTGGAAAAAAAGACGGGGAAGACTATCATAGAGAGTAACTAGTTCAGCATGATGTGCTGCTATGTAATTCTTCTGAGGTCATTTTGGCTGAGCCAGACATTTCCAGAGTGAACTAGAGGCAGTTTGGGAATGTTTCTTAATACCATCACATGCATGTTTCCCTCTTAAGAGAGAGGCATTTAGCCTCTCTTGGTCTGTAAATGATGTTACAGGTCTGTTTCTTTGATCCCTGCTGTAAGATTTTATAAGAACTAAATCAGTTTTACCCTTGAATATATTAACATATATTTCCTTCTGATATCCTAAAGAATATATAGGATTTGCAGTGGCAACTCTGTCTGCAACCCTGAGTTCTCATTCATCCTTTGGAATATCCTGTGTCTCCAAGAGACCTCTTGATTAAACTTCCCACTCAGCCTTACTATAAAACTTTATAATTATGATTTGCAAAGCTTTCATGCTCAAAGTAAATGGTGAGATCCCTTCTAGGCAAACGAGGTCTTAAATGCTCAATGAGCCTGAAGTCCTTTAAGGGAGCTCACACTCCTTTTCCACCCCTCTGCTGTCCACCCTGTACCCCATAGCCAGGTGCTCAGAGGATGCCTCCTGAGTATCACAGATGCAGTCCAACACCTTGGCTGCATTTATGTTGATTAAAAAGAGGATGATGAGGGGCACCTGGGTGGCTCAGTCGTTAAGCGTCTGCCTTCGGCTCAGGTCATGATCCCAGGGTCCTGGGATCGAGCCCCACATTGGGCTCCCTGCTCGGCCAGGAGCCTGCTTCTCCCTCTCCCACTCCCCCTGCTTGTGCTCCCTCTCTCGCTGTGTTTCTCTCTGTCAAATAAATAAATAAAAATCTTAAAAAAAAAAAAAAAAGGATGATGAGCCCTCTTTCTTATACTTTCCATAGCTATCTCTCTATAGCTACTATTAATGTATCAGAAAATAACCATTATTTATTGTTCATTTACATTTCTATTGTAAAAGACAATCTTTGCCTGAGGTAAGATGACTTTGGCTTCATTTCTTTTGGTCTGAAGAGCAGAGCTGAATGTTTGAATTACTTAAATGGGCCCAAAATGTATACATTTTACATTATCTATGGAGACTCTGCCAATATCTCCAGTATAGACACTTTAAGCTAACAAGCGATTATTCTTAACCACAGAAGGGTGAATGTCAACAGAGTCTTGATTTGACAACTTCCCTTTCTCCCATGAGAGCTATTCTATTCTGATTAGTCACAAAACAATATCATCAAAGATCCAAGAGTTGAGGTAAAAATTAACATATAAATATATAAGTTATACATTGCACGTAGATCTAATATGGTTGCAAAATCTGGCCCAATTTCTGTAAAAATGTATTGCTGGAAGACAACCTCGAACAGAGATGCTGAAACATGGCGATAAGATGCTACTTTGCCCTTCTGCCTCCAGATGGCTTCCCAAGGAGCATGTGCTAGGGTCTCAGAGTCCTCAACAGAGTTCTCCAAGAAGCCGCTTACAGTAAAACCCAGGGGCCATCCCCAGTCTACAAGTGGATTGTGTGCCTCCCAGGTGAGGTACAGGACAATGCACCAGGATGAGGGAAGGTTACATGTTGCTGCATGTACACGTATGACTAGAGTAGACTGTATACTCAAAATTCTTCTCTGGATAGATGGGTATGGATGAGGGGTAGAGAGAGCAAACTCTGTTAGCATGAGTCTCTTTGTAATTCACCTGAAATGTTTTAGCTTCAGTTTCAGAAGCTAGGTGGACCTTCTCCAGGCTCTAGGGGAAGAAACCGGGAAGGCTGTTGAAACTGAAAAGGGCCCCTGCACTGGTTCATGGAACCTATGATGCTCTGCTGTCTCCCGGCCTCGGGTCTTCTCATCGCCCGCCCACCGCCCCATTTCGGACCCGGACGCCTCTTGAGATTCACAGCGACACACTCACTGTTTCTGAAGTAAATGCTGGTGCTGCTGCTGCTGCTGCTGCCTGTAAGTCTCGATCGTGTGCTGAGGCAGGTACTGCATGAGCTCCAGGGACTCCTTGATCTTCAGCAGCATTTCATAGGTCTCGCGGCCCCTCACCTACGTGCAGCGCACAAGGAGAGACACAGGGAAAATGAAGAGCTCTGGAACGGTTAGCGGCACGGCCAGTCCTCCTCCTCTGTGGGTTCCGTGTTGCCGAATTCGCCTGCTTGCAACGGTCCTTGGTGACACGGAAACCGAGCCTGGTGGCGCTCTGTGGCCACACAGACACGCACAGAGGGCCACACTGCAGCTGCTCGCGCACGTTCCCAGCTCAGGCGCACGACGAAGGCATGCTCTGCTGTCTCACTCCTGCTTTTATGCTGCAAACAAGTGTCCTCTCCCTGGTCTACTGAGTGCCACATTTTCCACAGTGTGTGTGTGGGGGGGGGGGGTGCGGGAGGGGGTTTGTTGTTGGTGGTTTTGTTTGTTTGTTTTAGTTTTTTGTGTGTGTGTGTTTTGTGTGCGTTTTTTGTTTTGTTTTGTTTTGTGTTGGCTTTTTTGGTGAACCTGCTCTTTAAACTGGTCCCCAAGGGTAATGCTGAAGCGCTGTCTAGGATTCCAGGTGCCAGAAGGCTGCCATGTGCCTTCTGGAGAAAATGTGTTAGATAAGCTTCATTTAGGCGTGAGTTGTAGTGCTGTTGGTCATGAGTTCGGCGTTAATGAATCAATAGTATACATGAAATAAGGTGTCTTTAAAGAGAAACACACATCAAACAAGGTTATGTACTGACTGGTTGCAGAAAATGTTGTGATCAGAGACTCACAGGAACTTCATCCTGAGCTTTCCCATGAGTCAGTGTTTGTTAGAACAACATTTGCAGTGATTTTATAAGAAACAACTACCAAAAGTAATGAGAATTAGCAGTTATTAACTTATCTCTGGAAAGACAGAAGTTTTCAGCTGAGGCAAAACATGCTTCTCTCTTTAAGAGAGTCTCTTAAAAGTTTTTTAAAAGTATGAGCAGGGCCAGGACTGGAGTGAGACCAGCAGGGATGAGCGCGTGCAGGATCCCAAGGGCGAGTGCCTATTTCAAATCTGCTCCCTAGGCATTTTGTAGGCCTCACCCAAGTCCCCTCCCTGAGAGGCAGGATTTGTCAGAATTCAGAAATGGAAAAGTTTTCTCTACCGTATGTCAGGTTAGCTCCTATTTGTCCCAGCTCTGTGGTCACCTCTGCAAAGCTTCCCCTGATCTCAGTCTTTGGGTGAGTGTTCTGCCCTTTCTATGTGCTCCCACGGCATCATGCCCAGCTCTACGAAGGGATTTATTTCATTACATTCTAACTGTCTCCTTGCTAAAAGGCAAGCTCTTTGAAGGTAAAAATTATATTCTACTGATCTCTGAATGCTCAGGGTCTAGCATATTTGCCACCCAACAGATACCAACTAAATTCATGTTAAATTAAAAGTTTTTTTTTCCTTAATTCACACGTCCCAGTTTGGCTGATTCTTCACTAAACATAAGATGTAACTGATGACAAGGTACCTCCTTCCTTAGTACAAACTGGTTCCTATCTCAACAGCTGAAAACATATTAGGTCTTTCGGAATATTTGGTTTATCAGGATAATGCTGAACTTAAAGTTCACAAGTCCGTTTCCATAGGTAGCTTGAGAAAAAAGACACTGAGAATCTTGGCTAACTCACCGTCTCATTGTTTTACTGGCAAGCAGTCTGTTGTCCCGGAGGTCAGGGCCCAAAGAAGGCAGGGAAGCAGGTATGTCACGCCCAAACCTGTTGAGTGGCTTTGGCGTCAATACAGGGGCGGCAACCCTTGTCAAATCTCCTGGCCCGGCTTGCCTGGGTCTCAGGTACGTTCAGATGGTGAGGGTTATGCTGGTTACCAAGACTTTGCCACCACTCTCGATGGTCAAAACCTAAGGTGCTAAGAATTCAACAGACTGCAACCATAGTCTAAAAAGGGAACCTCAAGGACCTTGAGAGGACTCATGTTCCTCATAGGAATGAACAATGCTCTTACACAACAACTGGGCTGAGTCTTCTGGCCATTCACATATAACTGAGGATCCTGTCTTGCTTGGCTTTCTTTATAGCACTTCCTAAAAGAAATCGCATTCAAGTCCATAAATGTTGTACTGTCAAATCTGTGAGCTCCTTCTGACAAAATCTCAGTCTTGGCCACACTGTCTGGGGTAATCTTATCATTTTTAAACAACGAACTGCAACTTAATTTTAAATATTTGGGTAAGAAAAATTATATTAGAAGAGTAACTTTGATTGGGCGAGTAGTAAGTAGAGAAGCCTGTACTACTGACAGATTTCAAAATAGGGGAAGAGACGGATATTTCCTGATTTTTCAAACAATATTTTCTCCCTGTTTTATCTCCCTAGTCATCATCGTCCCTTTCTCATTGTCACAGATAATAAGATGACACAGAGGAAAAGCTCATTCAGAGATGGTAAAAATGAAGCAATTGGGCAGACTCAAGGGAGACTCACTGGTAAGTATAACAGCTCATCATCTGGGGACCTCCGTTTCTTAATGGATGTCATCTGGATGCCATGCGTGTTCTGACGAAAAGCTGGTGGAAGGGAAAACGCAAGTTTCATCCTGGGAACATTTCTGAAGCACTAGTACATTTATTAAACAGACAGTAGCCTCAGCAAACCTGTGAGGTTAGAGTTTCCAGTCCCAAGCTTCCATTTCCTTGGTGATCATTGCATTTACATTAAGTGTACGCCTAACAATAATGAGGTGGGGGGTTGGGGAGGAATAAGCAGAAGGAAGACATCTGGGAAGCTGGAAGAGAGCCTTTGGCCTAAGTGGTGCTGCAGGAATCCCCGTGTCTTGCTGGCGTGTGTCTGTGAACAGCTGTTCAGGGAGGGAAGATAAATGGGTTTGGTGTTTTATTTTTCAGATCATTTATCTTCCAAGGAGGTAAAGGGAGGGGTGTTGTAGAAGTTGTCTTGCCCATGCGCTCAGCTTGCGTGTTCAGCCCTCCCGCGGCAGTGAGGACATCATGTAACTTCAGACAGACAGTTCCACTCCCAGGCCCTCATTTTCCCTTTGGTAAAGGGAGTGGATGCAGCTCATAAATCCTTAAGGTTTCCAACATTAGAAACTACAGCCAGAATCCAGGATATAGAGAGGATTCTTTTGCAAAAGTTTGGATAATCTATTCTTCCTAAAAGTTATTAACGTGTAGGTAACTGAGGTGCTCAGGGAAGCATATAGAAACAATGCCACCAGACAGACTCATGAGCAAAATTAGGGTGGAGATATAATTATATACATATGTATGTATTGTGTATGTGTGTGTGTGTGTGTGTGTATATACATATATATACACATATATATATACACATATATATATATACACACACACACACATATATACTTTTTTGAGGAATAATCAGGGAGAGAAAGAGCCTAACAGGAAAGGCAAGTCATACGGAAAAGTTAGAAGTTGATGATGAGTAGCTGTTAAAACATTCTGTTGTTCTGTAAAACGCAATACAATTTATATTTCTTCTGGATACTAACCAGTAATAAGATTAAAACGTGTTTTCATGAAATAAATCACAGCGTGGTATAACTTTAAAATACTTGTAGTGATAATAGGCTTATGCGAGGCACCTTCTAGAATCAATTTCTTCTCATAAGTTAGATGTACAAGTGGACCAGTGGTTTTCACACTTTGCTGCCTGGAGGTCTAGGCCCCTGTACCACATGGGCAAGGGATGATTGAGAGCAACAGACCACCCCTGACTGCTGCCCCCTTCAAATAGAATATTTTAAATATTTCATTTAAAAAAAAAAAAAAAGCTTTTACTGCTTAACAAAAGGAGTTTAAAAACAACAGACCTAAATCATTAGTCTCATTATAAATGAGGTAACTGAGGCCCCAAGACGGTCATACGTGTCAAAACTCCATGAAACCCGGATCTGCATATTCCCCAGACCGTCCTTTGTGAAATACATTTGTAAATCTCACTATTCCCAGGAATTCATAAGGTAGACAGATGCCATTTTCAGTCCTTACGCGCAATTTCAGAAAGATAAACTGGTATCAGTGTCTCATACCCAGAGTTTCTGATTCAGCAGGTCTGGGAACTAAGAATTTGCATTTCTACCCAGTTGCAAGATGATGCTGTTGCTACTGGTCTGGGAGTCACAGTTTGAGGACCGCTGGACTAAGAAATCCTCACCATGACGATTTGCTTTTGCAAAGCTGTCGTGCGCACCTGGAGTCCTCCATTAGTGGGACAACCGTTCACACTGGCTGTGGGACCTCAAGTCATACTTGCCCCTGAAGCCCTGAGGTAGGTCTTCCTATGCAGCTTCCCCAGTATTGCTCTTGGCCCCCACATCTGGAGAAGATTTCACCCTACCGCATTTGGCTACTACAGCTACTTACGGCGCTTCGTACCGTCACCGTTCTTTGCGCTGTCCGTCACCTGCTGCTTCCTGATGCTGTCTTCATCCGCCTTCCGGTCTCTCCCTGGGCAGGCACAGATCCGGGCCTCAAAGCAGCGTCGGCCCAGGACTTGCCCGCTAGGAATCAGAGAGGAGGGAGAGAAAGGGTGAAATTGAAAAGAATTGTAAAAGTCCCTGGCATTCTCTCATTTCCATGTCCAATGCTAGCCATCACCCATCCACCATCACCACCAGCTCACTCATGGCTGCTTTGAGGATGGACCCAGAAGCACTTGGCAAAACACAAAAGGGCTTATGTGCCATAAACAATATTAGTAAATAACATTCCATTTGTTCTGCAAAGCACCTCCAAGCCATTAACTGAACAGCTGTATTTAGCTACAGATTTTGAAGGAAAGTTGAGTTAAGCCAGTGGATGTTTCTGGATAAAACCCCCTTAGGCAGCCCAGACTTACTCAAAGAAACTGTTAACTGCCTTGGGAGCCACATGAAAACAAACACTGTCTAATCAGAAACTATTGCAGTCAAATGTCAAGAATTCAGGTATGAAGTGACTTGCATGCCTTCCTGGTTCTTTTCTTCCCTCTCCCTTAACGCACCCTGCTCTGTCTCCACCTTCTTAGATCTTTTATGTCACTGTTTGCAGCCAGGATTTAAAGCACAAAGGACAAAATCAAGGGTAGCTCTTTGCTGTACACGGAAAGTTAATGATAGAGCAAACACAATTTCACGTTGCCCTCTGCCCACGGTGTTTTGCAGAATGACAATTCTGCACATGCCACTTACTCTCTGGTTTCCAGAGTAACAATGATTAAAATTGGACGGCGGTTCATCCCTCCAACACAACTGCTGTTACACATGAAATTGTACAGGACTGTTGTGAATTCAGTGCCAACCTGAACACAGGAGGAAAAAGAGTCCGGGTTAACAATGGTTTGAGCTGATGTTCTTCCTTCTCGGTTCTCTTCTCTAGTTAACCAACTCACTCTGATGAGGTGATACACTCTCTTCTAGCAAGACGAACTCTAAAACCCATTGTAGATTCCTCTGCCCTGCCTCTTGGGAAGCTTAAAGCTAATGTTTGCAACACTGGACACTAAATTAGAAATTAGATTTAAATTAAATCTATTTTATTTTAAATACTTACATTAAATTAGAAAGGCAAGAAAGGCTTTAAAACATAATACTTAAAAAAAAAGATTTATTTATTTTAGAGGAAGAAAGAGAGAGCAGGCGGTGGGGCACAGGGAGAGGGAAAGAGAGAGAGAGAATCGGGCTCCCTGCTCAGCACAGAGGCTGATACGGGGCTCCGTCTCACAACCCTGAGATCATGACCTGAGCAGAAATCAAGAGTTGGTCTCATAACCAACTGAGCCACCCAGGTGCCCCTAAATCATAAAACTTTTTGATCCTATTGATCTTATTCATTTGCAAGCTAATCCCTATCACCTAATTCAAATGGGGAGAAATGAAAATATTACCCAAAATAGCAGCAACACCCAGGGAAATTTCCCCTATGTGGATAAAATAGCTTAACACAGATTTAAATGTACACTTCCATAAAGAACACTCTGGAGCTGAAAAGGTCCTCAGGATTAAATCATCTATTCCAAAGTGGTCGTTTATGGGCAAGGCAACTGAAGCTTAGAGAGGGAGAGCCACAGGCTAACAGTCCACATAGCAAGCCAGCAAACCACGAGACTCTGGTAACACTACTCCAGTGTTCTTAATACAGAACCAGTCTGCTTTCCTAATCTGCCACCTGTTTGTCCAAACCTGAGCTAAGAGATCCCCCTCAGAGTCTCCCATCTGTAGGCCACTGGGAATATACTGGCATCTGGTCCACATCTACTACCAGTTCAATTGCCAGTTAAATTCTCTAGATGAGTCAGGTATTTACCCAATTGCAAGTTCAATTATTATTGGCCTTTAAGATGGGAACCTGGGGGAAAAAAAAAAAAGATGGGAACCTGGGTACACAGCAATGTTATTAAGTTAACTTAATACAAATGTAGGAGTTCTGAAGGGGATAGAGAAGCAGTGTGGTAAAGAGGGAGAGGAGAAAGACAAGAAGGGTTCTATTTGATGACAAACACCAAGGCAGAAAGAGATCCCCAAAACACCCTTTATCACCAAAATGAATGCTCTCCCAAGTCAACCCAGTACTTATCTTTTACCTGGGGTGGCTCATAAGGTACCAACACACTCTGTCTTCCTGTGATGGGGTCTTCTACATACTGGGCATGGCTGTTCCCTTCTACTCGAATCAAATGACTAGGAGGGGCAATCTGTCCTGCAGAACAGAGAAAGACAAAATAGTTAGTTCTTTGCCTAGAAAGAAAGAAAGAAAGAAAGAAAGAAAGAAAGAAAGAAAGAAAGAAAGAAAGAAAGAAAGAAAGAAAGAAAGAAGAGAGAGGGAGGGAAGGAGAAAGGAAGAAAAAAAAAGAAAATGAAGCTGCGTGGGCAAAATATTTGTGGCTAAAGAAATGGTTTGTTTTATAGAGGAAACATACATCTTTGAAGAAAGGAAGGGATCTCATTGCCAGATATCTAATAAATGAAGGTGTACCTTTATAACAATAGAAAGGGCTGGAATGCTCACCTATATTTAAGGGAACAGTCCTTTGTTTCTGGGGCTGAAGGTTAACAACTCAAGCTGTCAAGGAACTTTATGACTATGTCTCTGTTCTTATCCACAGAGGGGATTCTGCTAGCTCCCATGGGAAAGGGAAGGAAAAGGAACAAGTTCATAAAAAAACAAACAAAAAACCCCAAAAACCCAGCTTGAGAATAGATGCTTCCCCAACACTGATTAGCAAAAATACTAACAAAAGGTAATAGATGGCAAGGATATACTTTTACTGCCTGTTCTTTTCTCTGCCATAAAGCCTCCGTCTTTACACCTTTACACCTTTTTTTTTTTTTTTTTTAAGATCTACACCCAATGTGGGGCTTGAACTCATGACCCTGAGATCAAGAGTCATACGCTCTACTGACTGAGCCAACCCAAAACCCCTGGATTCACACCTGCTTTGGTCATAAAGATGAGAAACTTACTGGTTTTCTGGTGCTGAAAGAGCCCCAGGTTGGAGGATCAGAAAAGGGAGGCATGCTTTTAAAAGAACATAGGCCAAATTTCACAAAATTGGGATACTTGACAGAGCTCCAAAAGAAAGCAGCTGATCTGAGAATTGGGAGTGGGAGCCATAAAGGTGTTCTTACTCTTTGGGTATATATTACCATTCTATAAAAATTGTTAATCTATAAAAGTCAAAAAATAAGTGTGAAAATGCTCTCTGAAGAATCATTTATTTGGCAAAAACTAAAAACAGGTGTTATGTCAAACAGCGAGAAAGCAAAACAAAACAAAATATACTTATATCATCTTGATGGATCAAGGGCAGTTGTGGAAACCTGTAATGGAGCCTAGCTATAAGGAATCATCTTTAAGTCATATTGTTAAGTGAAAAACAAGATGGAAAGGTACTGAAAATGAGGCCATGTAGACAAGGACTGGAAATTAATGTGTAAAAAGTAGTTGTGTTAAGATGGGAGGATTTTAACTTTCTCTGTTGAAATTTCTATCCACTCTCTTCCTCCATTAATTTTTCTCTACCATCTATTCCAACATCACACTAGCTACCTACCAGTATTTCTTTTTAAAAATATATTGTCTATATAAATTATCCTAACCTCCAAGCCTCCTGCACCCTCCTAATGAACACTTTTGTGTTCTCTTGTTCTTCCTTTCTACTTTCCGCTCCTCCTTACTTAGCCTCCCTTCATAGACTTAGAATATCCAGTGTAAGAGAACCCTTGGAAACAGCGACCTCCTCTGTAAAGCTGTTGTTGGATCTGAGGCTCAGAACATGGGGCATGACTTATCCATAGACACAGAGCTTAAAGGAGGCCCCAAAATACCTGCTCCCTGACTCCCAGTCATGACTTTGCTGTCCCCCCTCCCAGCTTATGTCCTAGATCTTCTTTTTGCTCCTCTTGTCCATTATTTATCTTCATTCCTTTTCTCCCCCCACTTTACTCTTCCATTTTGTATGTGCGTGTGTGTGTGTGTATGTGTTTCTTACCTTTTATGCTCCCTCCAGTTCTCAATTGGTATAGCCTTGACACCACTCTAGGAAAGGCACTAAAGCTGAAGGTTACCCTCACCTGAGCTGAATGGGTCAAACGTCACATTGTCCCTCCTACACCCTCTCATTTAAAAAAAGAAAAAAAAAAAAAGGAAACAGTAGAAGTGAAGAGGCAAGTTCAGGTCACCTAGTAATTACCAATATTAAATTACGAAGAGTCCAATTGTTAATGGAGCCATAAATGCATTTATCATTATTCTCAATCTGTTAGACAAAAAAAGGTAAACTGAGCTGTCCTCAGATTGCAGAGTTTGGAACCAGGTAGATGGACCCCAAAGAAAAATCTCCACAGGATCTCTATTTTTCAGGAGCTTAGCTGAACAGCCCCAGATCCCAATTCTTACCCTCATTGAATTCACGGCTCAGCTCGTGGTTGGGGCATCGTTTCACCACCTCAGTGACATGTTCAGCTTTCTTGTAGACAGGCATGGCACGGATGACAGCGCCCTGCGGAGGTGGGGTCATCACCTTGATCTGGATGGGACATGTCTTTGCAATTTGGCAGTACAGTTTCTTCAGTTCAGTGGAATACTGCTTAGAGATGGGCCGATGGTGACAGGAAGAAAGAACCAACAGGAGATATTGTTACATTCCAAATCGGAACAGGTCCACTTTCTATAGATGCCCATTTATGACTGGCTACTACATACCCAACAATGACAGCTAGCAATCTTTTCAGAAGGACTTATAGTCACTAATCAAATTAATCATTTTTTCCAACTTTAAATAAAATCCTGTAAACAAAAGAGTTCACATTTATCAAAACACACTGATGTCATTATTTTCTGGTATCTTCTCATTAGGGTGAAGAAATTGAGTTTCAGAGGGGTTAAAATAATTCATACCACAAACAGCTTTACAGAATGCCAGAAACTAAGTGGAAAAAAACAATGTTTTCATATACTGAGTGATATTAAACAGATGATAATTTATCCTGCCCTTACAGTACTCTAGAGAGACTCAGAGGAAATAGGATTTATGGGGGAAAAATTAGGATGGAATATATAGCAGAGAGTAAAGAGATTTTACCCAAGGCCCAACCAACTAGAAAACTGCAAAGCAAACTTTTTCCCAAACGGTTGCACTTATATTCTCATGCCATAGCCTAAGACAATGTGAAAGTTGATAGGGACCATTTGGTCCTATACTCTCATGAACAGGACTGGCCTGTTGCAATGGCACAAATCATGATGGCAAAAGCCATCAAGCTACAGATCTCTTCACTCAGAAGTGACTGAAACTTGTATTCCCCACACTTCCTTCTGAGGGAGGAGAAATTCAGTGATTCGTTGGTTGGTTGGTTGGTTGGTTGTAGAACTGACAAAATAGGGGGAGAAAGCATGAGACCTAGAACCAAACAGAAGAAAAAAGTCCTATCCTGTGTTTCTTCCCCTCCCCATCTCTGAACCAATGTAGAAAGTCTCCATTCTAATCCTTACATTCTATTAAACCTTAGCATCCCTGTTCTCTGGGCCAAGGCCCCTTCACTGCCCTCCTCCGCAGTTTGCTGCGGCAGTGAGACCACCAGGCACCACCACAGCCAGCCAAGAGTGGGGCACCTGGTAACACCTACCCAAACAAAGGTAAACACACACACACACACACACACACACACACAGGTTGCAATCCTAGATTGGCAGCAACGGTCTTCCAGGGGAAAAACACTGGGGACCAGGAGCCAGAGTGGCAAAAAGATGTATTATTGATACGTTTCAACCTAACTCTGACTGAAGGCGAATGTCTGACTAAAAAATGCATTTAAAAAGAGCTGCTTTATTTCATCCTCTTGAAATATTTAATCTTTCTTTTTATCCCAAGCGCTTTAGTATATGAAATTTTCAGTTAAAAATTTCCTAATGTGAGAAGTGTGTTGCATAGTCAGCTCTCCATGACCACAGGTCAAGGATTAGACACAGCAAACGGGTTTTATATCGCTTGAGGAAATAGGGAGCATGCCAAGAATTGACCACAAAAATAAAATTCTACTCGGGAAACACTGAATGAAAAGTAGAAGAGTACTTTTGTGCTAGTGTTTTCAACCAATGACTTTACAAACAAAGACACTGCCTTAGGGTATGTTAAGAACTCACTTTTACTAAGAATGCTCAGAAAGTAAGCATAGCCGTTTGTGTTTTAGTTAGGAGATATATAACCTACGCGTGAGCTTCATAAGATTCACCTCAGGAAAAATGACTGAAAAATAAGTTTGTCACCTGAAGGCAAATAAGACACCTACCCAAGTATGTAAAGATTGCCAAAAAAAAAAAAAAAAAAAAAAAAGGAAGGATAAGTGTTCAGAGTAGGACAGTTCAAAGAAAACACATTTCAATAATTGATATACTATCAATCAAACTTGACAGACTAAAATGTAAAAGTACTAAACAAATGTAGGCTTCATCAGCTGTTACCCTCACTCGTTCTCAGGGATGGGAGAGGGGAATCTCATTTCTGAGTCTGAATAATGATAAATAATAATGGCTTTATCTTTTCCTGAGTTCTGCTGTCAGAAATGGAATCCTCACACAACCCCATGGGGAGGGTATTACAGGGATACAGTCTCTTATCTGAAACCCCTGGGGCCAGATATTTTAGAATCCAGAATTGTTTTGATTTTAGAAAGGGAGCAGAGTTCATATAGCATATATTATAAACACCTCCAGCAGGATTTAGGTCAGCACCCCAGAATCAAATGTTAACGTTTCTTCAGAATTCATGACTATTCCCACCAACTGGGATATGACTATAGAGCTTTAAAGTTCAGGCCAGATTTCACCACCAAATGAGTCTGTCACAAACTTCATGAAGTTAAAACCAAACCAAAGCAACTTTTGGTTTTCAGAGCTCTTTGGATCTCAGAATTGCAGATAACAGATAATGAATCAGCATTATTATCCCCATTTTATAGATAAGAAAGTGGAGGCATACAGAGGACTTGCCTGAGGTCACAGAGAAGAGCTGGTTAGCAACCCGTATAGGAGAGTCCTAATCCCAGCCCTGTAACAACACTCCCTTGTCTCGATTTCTCTTGGCTCGGCAGTGCAAATTTGTGCACTTTTACCTTTCTTTAATCCCCAACAGCATGGCTATACTCTGAAACAACTTCAAAGGTATACAATCCTCTCTAACATTAAAACAAGCTCAGAAGTCGTTGACTCACCGTCAACAATTCCTCTTTATTTATTTCTCAGTGTAATAATTGCTCATTTAATTACAGAGAGCTGCAGCAAGTGATAGAACTGAAAAAATACTGGACTAGGAGGAAGCTGACCTTGGAGTCCAGTACCAATGGTCTGTCAGTACTCTTGATTACAGCTTAGGGCAAGTCATGAGGGAGGCCCTGATGTTTCCCATGGTTTGTTAAGGCCCTTTGTGGTCTGACCCCATCTATCTCTCCTTCCCTCCCCTCACCCCCCAAACACACTCACTTCCCACTGCATGTTCTCTCCATGCAAACCTCTTAACGCCTCCAACACACCATACATGCATCACCCACAATTCAATCGTACCATTCCCTGTCTGGAATGACTCATGTTGTTCCTCTGTTCTCCACACCAAGCTCGGACAATTTAGATATCCCCCCTCGGCTTGGACTGCATCTAGGACTGCAGACCACATATTCCAGTTTTAAGGATGAAAGTTTCATATTGACTGAATCTAAATATCTGACCGGGGCCAAGATCCATTTTGATCATTGTTTCCGGTGAAACTAGCAGGCCTGCTGCTCAGTAACTAGAGGGGCTGAAGCAGCCTGGCGTGCTCAGTTCTTTACAAAGCCAAGCTTCTGCTACTTTATTTCCCTCACTGGTCGCAAATTCAATCTGTGCTGATGTGTAATATTTTTCCAGCACTAAATTCGGGCTCCCTGGCCTATGGTGTATTCGTAATTCTTTCGACTTCCCCACTTCCCTCATCCTCTACCAAATGGCCACTATCTCCACCAATTTTCCAGTCTTCTGCCGGATCACAAGAGAATGGCAATCTGATTTACGCCAAGATTTTAGAATACACTGGTAATTCAAGTTGGCACAGGGTGAAAAGTGGAACACATCTGGCTGCTTTTAATGTCTCTCTCTTTCTCTTTGGGACTTCTAAAATCCTACCTCTAAACTGCTCCCAACATTGACTTGAGATTCTTTAATTCTAAGGTCTAATTTCTTGGGGGTATGTATTCTTCTTTGTTTTGTTTTAATCAGCTTTGAGGTATAATTTACTATAAATTATACCAATTTTTAAGTATATCAGTTGATGACCTTTAACAAACATACACAGTTATATAACCACCTCCCCTAGCCCAGTCGTCAAAATTATCTTTTGCCCCTTTTATAGCTAACCCTCTTCCTGATTCCTTCCCTAGGCAACCATTTACCTGCTTTCGCTCACTGCCTTATTTTAGAATTTTAAAGAAATGGAACAATACAGTGTATAATCTTATGTGCCTGGCTTCTTTCATTTCGCATAATGCTTTTGAGGCTCATCCATGTTTTGGCATGTATCGGTATTCCATTTTATTATTTAGTGGAACTCCATTATTTATCTACACATCAATTATTTCCAGTCTGTATTTACTATGAATAAAACTCTTGCAAACATTCATATATAAATCTTAGTGAGGACACATGTTTTTATTTTTCCAGATAGGGACCTCGAAGTATGATTGCTCAGTAAGTGGATGCTTAACTTTATAAGCAACTGCCAAGCTGTTCTACAAAGAGGATGTGCCACTTTACATTGCCACCAGCAATGTATGAGGGTTCACATCCTTGTTAGCACTTGCTATTGTCAGTTTTAATGCCATTCTAGCAGGCATGTAATGGTTCTCACTGTGGTTTAAATTAGCATTTCCCTGATGATTAATGATGTGGAGTATCTTTTCATATACTTATCTCATATCCATCAATTAGATTTTTATATAATTATATTTTACTTAATAAAAATTAAAATATAAATGTATTTATTTTATACAAAGAAGTTAAAATATATAATTAAAAATATATATGTATTTATTTTAGATTTTTTAATATACTTACTATTCTTTTTGGAAGGGTTTGTTCAAATCTTTCAAACTTCTTAAATTTTAATTTTTTTAATTGGGTTGCTTGTGTTCTTAATTTGAGTTGAAAGAGTTCTTTATATATTCTAGATAAAAGTCCTTTATCAGATACACATTTTTAAAATATACTTTCTCCCAGTCTGTAGCTTGTCTTTTTTACCCATTTTGTGTGCTTTTCCAAAAGTTAATTTTGAGGAATTATCAATATTTTGCCATGAAGGCTTATGCTTGTCGTGTCCTAAGAAATCTTGGTCTAACCCAATGTCAGAAGGATTTTGTTTATTTGTGTGTAGAAGATTTATAGTCTTAGCTCTTGCATTTAGTCTTATACCTATTGTTCAGTCAGTTCCCCTCCTCCTCGTTCTCTTCTTCTTTCTAACAGCTATCCAATTTTTCCAGCAACACTTGTTGAAAAGTTTATCTCAATCATTTCCCTCTGTTCAATTGCCTTAGAATTATTTTTTTTAATTAATTGACCACATGTGTTCGCATCTTTATCTGGACACTGCCCTTTTCTATTGACCTATATGTCTATTTATACATCAGTGTCACACTGTTTGGATTATTCTAACTTTATGGGAAGTCTCAAAATCAGGGAATCTACACCCTCCAATTTTGTTCTCTTTCAAAATTGTTATGGCTATTTTAGATCCTCTGAAATTCCATTTAAAATTTACAAGCAACTTGTCGATTACCACAAAAATGCCTGGTAGAATTTTGGATGAAATTGTTTTGAATATATAGGTCATCTTGAAAAGAACTGATATACTAGCAATATTATATATTTTAATCCATGAACATGGTATATATCTCCAATTAGGAACTTTTGATTTCTCTCAGGAATGTCTCATAGTTTTTAGTATGCAAATCTTGCACATATTTTGTTAGACAGCTCCTTCAGCATTTTAAAAAATTGTTTAAATGGTACTTTAAAATTTTTAATTTCTAATTTTATTTTTCTAGTATATAAAAACATATTTGATCTTTGTATATTGGCTATGCATCCTGTCACCTTGCTAAACTTATTAGTCTAGTAGTTTTTTGTAGCTATCTTATGATTTTCTACATAGATGATTATGTTAACCATGAGTAAAGACAGTTTTATTCCTTCCTTTCCGATATGCATGACTTTTAATTTTTTATTCTTGCCTAACTGCAAAAATTGAACTACAGTTCAATTTGCCATTGCTTTATTTTTATTTTTTAAATTGATATCCTAGATCATTGATTTTAGACTTTTATGTTTCTCTAATATAAGCATTCTGCATTCTATATTCTACAAAGGCTCCTCCAAAGCACCCTTTAGCGATATCTATTACATTTTAATATATTCTTAATATGGAGGAACATCTGAAGCATTTCTTTTGGAGGTCTGATTAGTCTTCATATCCAATATAATAAGGGATCAACACTTACATTCCTGAAAAAAATAATTCTGTCTCTAAGACTTACGCTTATTTAATGGGTTCTGTTTCTGGCTTTAACTTATTTCCCCTTTGCACCATTTTCTTATCATTCTAAATTTTTTTTTTTTATTGCTGTTCTAAGGTTATTTTTATCTCTAGCTAGGTTTTTTTCTACTTACAGGTATCACAGGAAGAAGCCAGTTGTTTCTATATCTGAAAAGAGAATCTCCTATATCTAAGAACTTCTTTGGTGATGCAAGTCCATTGCATTGAATTTCCAGTAGTTCTTTGGGTGGACATTATACATTCCAACCTTTATGTTTGAAGATATAACGTATCTCTCCCTATAGTGCTGTCACTATTAGAAGCAGTTATGAAGGATTAAAAACTTAAATAAACTTCTTCTCAACTTCTTTTTCCATAAAGTTGTCTGTTTTTTCATAATTTTAAAGACATGTGCACACAGAAATTCTGGAAAAAAAAAGGAAATATATGACATATTTCCCCTACCCAGAGATATACACCATTAACATTTTAGACATTTTCCCATGCATACAAACACATACATACACACAAACACTCTCTGACAAACATACACACACCCTTATACAAACTGGAACATTAACAAACATTTTGGTATCTTTTTTATTTAATGTATCATGACTGTGTTCTAATTTAAAAATATAATTTTAAGTGGTTGCAATTATAGTATTAAGGAGACATACAATGATTTACTTAATCATGCTTTCTTATAGAATATGAATTTTACTCTAATTTTAAAATATTAAAAATAACACTGCTGAGCATATTTTAATTCACAAATCCTTAGGATGTACATTAGTTTTAGTTGGATCCCTTGAAACTGGATAATTGAGTCAATGCATATTTTAATGTTACAGAGAAGTCCAAGGTCAGTTTGAATTTTCTTCCCTTAAACTAGATAAGGTGCTTATTTCTCCCTAGATCCTTGAAGGATTTTGTTTCCTTCTTTATTTTGTTTAAAAAAAAAAGAATGTTTCTAATTTTTTTTCTTGAAATTATTTGGGAATTGGTGAGCTCTTTCAACTTATATGCTTGAACGGAGCTCAATGTAATTTTTCTTTTCTTGTTTTATTATATTTTTGTTTCTTCTACTCTTATTAATTTTAAGAAACATCTAAGTCTTACTTTGAATCTGCATTCTATATCATACATTTTATATACTCAAACACTAACTGTTAGCATTTATTCCTTTTGTCTGCCTTCTGGGAAAGCTTGTCAAGGTCGTTTTCCATATCATATGTAGGGTTTTCTAGAGTTAGCTCTGGTCTGTTCTACTACAAATAACTGTAATTCTTCTATTGCATTTCAAATGCTCCTTATCTATTTAATCTCCCTTTTTACCTTATCCAGTCATCTTTTCATCAGAGTCTGCTGTTCTAGGTATATTATTTCTTCTCCTAACTTTATAGTGCTTATGTTTTATTGCTTTGTACTGAAGCAATCTTTTAAACTTTTTTTTTTTTTCTTGGTTGCTAGGATGCTTTTGCTTCCTTTGATTCATTAAAATGATGTTCCCTTATACTTAGTTCTTTTACTTTCTTCTTCTTCTTCTTTTTGGTTGTCATTGTTTTTTGATGTAGGTCTCTAATTGCTTTTGTAGTTTTCTGTGAACATAAGGTATAGCTAGAGCTAGTATTTGCATTCCTCATGTCTCTTTGACAACTTTCAATTTGGTTCCATGAATATTTTAAAAAATAAAAATTGCTACAGGGTGCTACCGATAGCATGAATGTCCAATTTTTTTTAGTTATGCATTTTTCTGTAATTCATAATATTTTGGTGGTAAATTAAGATTCTACGTTAGAATCTGCTAATCAGCTGCCACTGTAAACTAGGCATGAGATCTATTTATTTCCCCGCTTGCACATCATTCAATAATTATCAAACAAACACTTACTAAGCACATACTACACAATGTCAGGTACGAGGAACAGAGAGAAGTAAGATTAAGAACCCTGGAATGCAGGAACTTATGTATCTTTACTGTGGCACAGTCTTTGAAACATAAAATAAATTGAAAGAAAAGCTTACTCAGCCTTACCTTCAAGTTGCTCACAGTTTAGAGCCAGAACAAAACACAACAACACAAATACATTGTGTATAGCAGAGGTATGTATAACATAGTATGGAATTACAGAGGAGAGAGCAATAAACTACTTGTTAATAAATTTCCCATTTATTGAACAAGTACTATATTCAAGGTTCTGTTTTAGGTCTGGAAATTCAGCAATAAACAAAAGCAAAGTCCATGCTCTAAAGGTGTTAATATTCTAGAATAAACAAATAAATACTATGTCAGATGGTGATAAGTGCTATAAAGAAAATGAAGTCAGGGTAGGGGAGTATGGTGTGAGGGGGTATTATTTTATCAAGGGTTATCAGGGAAGGATTTTTTTTTTAAAGATTTTATTTATTTATTTGAGAGAGAGAGAGCATGAGAGAGGGGAGGTCAGAGGGAGAAGCAGACACCTTGCTGAGCAGGGAGCCCAATGCGGGACTCCATCCCGGGACCCCAGGATCATGACCTGAGCCAAAGGCAGTCGCTTAACCAACTGAGCCACCCAGGCGCCCATCAAGGGTTATCAGGGAAGGATTTTTTGATAAATTGATATTTAAAGAAAGATGTGAAGGAAGCACAGGACTAAGCCATGCATACACCTAGGAAAATAATATTTCAATTACTGGAGACAGCAAGTGCTAGGGTCCTGGGATAAGTATGTCTGTCAAGGAGACCAGTGAGTGAAGGCTAGTGGTAAGGGATAAGTGGTAAGGGATAAGATCTGAAGCAGACCACATATGGGGCCCAAATCATATAAGGCTTTACAGGCCAGGGAAAGACTGCAGCCTTCCTTGGTGTGAGCTAAGAAGCCATTGGAGAGGTCTGAGAAGGGAACATGATCTGGTTTTCACTTTAATAATATTTTGGCTGTTATGTGAAAAACAGACTTTATAGATCAAAGATGGAAATGGAGAGCTCAGTAAGGAAGCTACTGCAAGTGACCCCAGTAAAAAATGAGAGTGGCTTAGACCAGCAGTAGAGTTGGCAAGAAGCAGTTGGTTTCTGGATATATTTTAACCAGATATGCTGATGGATTGGCTGGAGATGAGAGAGAAAGAGAAAAGCAAATCGATCCCACTGGAGAAGAAAGGTTTCAGAGCAGGAGTGATATTTAAACTAGGCCTTAAAGGCAAGTTATTCACCAGCTAGATGGTGTACCCAAGAATATGAAGATGGGAGAAGTTTCCACAGAGAGGGCTTTCTACAGATAGAGAACATCATGAATATAAGCAGATAGACTTTAATTATGGCTAAAATATAGGTGGGGGCAGGTTGGGAGGAGGAGGGACAGGAGGGGGAGAGGCAGAGCAGAAAGCAATAAGGCTAAGCTAGGAAGGCAGCTACCAGATTCTGAGGAGCCTTGGATGTCACAAGAAACAGTTGGACTCTACCAACAGGCAAAGAAGAATCATTAAGGATTACAAAGCAGGGGAAAGACCTAACCAGTTCTGTGTATTAAGTAAAGCAAAGCTGGTAGGAGCAAGACTGGAACAGAGTGAAAGGAGACCCATCCGGAGGTATTCAGGCAAGAAATGAGGAGGGCCCAAACTAAGGCAATACTAATGACTGAAAGGTGAAAGATGGGGGAAATTTTGGGGACTTACTAAAACTCAGTGCTCTAGTTTTCATCATGAATGCACCAAAACAGACTGAGAACAGTTTTTCATTGGAACAAAAGATGCTTGCAAAAATAATACCAGTTATTTGCTTATCCCTTTTCTAAAATCAAAGGATGAATGAGAGAGTTAGTTTAGGACTCCCTAAAGAATCAGTAGTAAAATGAGCCCTGGCTTAGTCAGTGAACTCTTCAACAAATAGAGAAAAGAAAAGAAAATTAGTTTTAATTCTGGACAAAGAAAATAAAATAACATGAGGTAACACTGGGATTAATAAGCCAACTTTGTTATGAAAGAGGAAAGGGGTTAGTTCTCAAAGCCGAGAGCATTAGAGAAGGACTCTTACTCAACACCATCAATTGTAAGCAACAGTTACTGAGCTAGGGGTGAAGAGACAAGATTTTAATTCTCATTTCCTGGGTCTCTAATGTAGTCACCTCACTTCTCACCAACATAAAATAGAAAAAAAATATGGAACATACAGTATGCATCTTTTAGAGTGGAGAAGAAAAATCATGAATGGATATGGGAAGCCTTAGTCAACTGCAAAGACCAACATAAACTCATGTATTATGATTATTACTGAAGCCTCATATTTATAAGATCTTCCCCATAAAGCATTTAATGTAGTTTAAGTAATTTGGGGAGCATTGTGAAAACAGTATCTCAACCTGGTCAGGAAGTAGTTGTTGTCAGATAATAAAAATCTCCTGAAGTTTGAATATTAACCATTTACAATGAATCACACAGTTCATATTTATCTGTTAGTAATCACTAAGTTCTAAATAATGTCAAGTGACTAGATTCACTTGTTTAAGAAAATGAATGGATTTGGCTTATCTGCTTCCATATATTTTTTTAAATACACATGCATAGATTCATAAGTAAATATAATACAATTTTATGTGTCCTTAAAATTTACTTAAGCTACACTGCTCAAAATTTAATCTCAGCAATCTATTTTCATTTCCCATATTTTCAACATATATCCATGTTCTTACATTTTAATAGTTGGGAAGAGAGAGGGTAATGAGACAGAAGGGAGGGAGACCTTTTGCTTTATGTCACATTTTATTTAAAAAAAAAAAAAAATTGAAGGGTGCCTGGGTAGCTCAGTAGGTTAAGCATCCAACTCTTGGTTTCAGCCCACGTCATGATCTCAGGGTCATGAGATGGAGTCCTGTATCAGGCTCCACACTCAGCGGGGAGTCTGCTTGAGATTCTCTCTTCCTTTCCCTCTCTGCTCCTTCCTGGACCCCTCACCCTCTCTCTCTTTCTCGAATAAATAAATCTTAAATAAATATATACATTAAAAATTAAAAATATATTTGAAGCAATATGAAGTTTTTTAGCATTTTGGTAGGTAACTCAGGTATCTAAATTTATTTGGTGTTTTTGTATGCTTGAAATATTTCCCAATTAAAAACTTTAATCAACGAATATGGGCAGCACCTGAAAAACTGTTGCATACTTACAATTTTAGAAGACAGAGAATATAGAAATAAGATGTTAGAATTCAGAAGGAACATTATAGCAGGTCTTGTCCAAACCTTTTTCTCCCCACAATTTTCAGATATAAAACTTAATGAAGTTGGTTCATTAATTCAACAAATATTTATTGAACACCCACTTCATGCAGGCTCTGTTCTGAGTTCCAGGGAACTAGCAGTATCCCTTAGGCT